CTAAGGGAGACGAGTACCTATTGGTAATGGATGTCGCTTCCTTCCATAAGACAGATTCCATCCTTGCGCTATTACGTCAGCACCACATCACACCCTGCCTCATACCGCCAGGGACCACTTCCCTCCTCCAACCTCTCGATACCGCAGTCAATAAGCCCTTCAAGCAGTGGCTTTCAGAAGCAACCGACGCTTACGTACTCGACGAGGAAGAAAAAGCGCTGAATAAGCAGGAGGAGCTCAAGTGGGAGACGGGTATGAAGAGAATAATGGTCACCAAAACAGTCGAGACGGCAGCCGCTAAATTGGCCCACGAGAAGGGCTCAATGGTCAGCCAGGCCTTCCTGCAGTGCGGAATATCTATTCGGCCCGATGGCAGCCAGGTCGACGAGATCCGGATCAAAGACGTGCCCGCCGAGGCCATCGATTACACTGGGTGGGAGCTCTTCGACGTAGAAGCCCACATTGAGCAGGAGACGCTGCAAGAGGAGATTCCAGACTTCGCTGTTCTGAACGACGGGTTAGAGTACATTTTCACAGCAGAGGAAGTCCGTGATGGCATCAATGGGCAGTTCGTCGACCCGACAGTCCAACCGCCGTATGAATAGGGGCCCGTTGGAGGCAGTGGGCCAGGGGACAGTCAGGGGCTCGGTTGCTTACGTACGACTGCTTCCAATTGACACTTTTGCCCTTTTTGCCAATTCGACGAGAAAAGCTCAAAACCGACGAGAAAGCCAAAATAATTATTGAATTATATCAATTGTGGGTCCGGCCTCGACGGCGAGCTCTCATTGGTCAGATCGATCGAAATGTTAACCTACGCCAAAAATAGGTGGCGGCCGCATTTAACCACTTTAGGCAGTATTACGATTCTGCCATAGCGCTAGCAGGGCTGGCACGGGCTAGCGCAAGTTCGAGTTGCTCGAGTTTCTACGGTATGGGATTTCACCTTTTCCCTATCCTTCCACCAAGATACGGATGCCTAGGATTCATCACATCAGCTCCTCTAGGAAACGGTCCAGCATGTTATCTGCTACGTTGTCATCCCCGCGCCGTCGTGACGAGAACAGAAGAACAGCGGAGACACTTGTGGATGCCACTTTCACAAACGGACTAGGATGATCAGCGCGTCTGGCCAGCTCGCCCCTCTTGCCGCAGCTGCACATCACCCCTCCAGTCTCCGTCGGATGCGTGTCGCTATCAGAAACCCTGTCTGCGAGAGTGGATACTATACAGGTAGGTACACTTTCGTACTGTCAAGTATCTCTTGACAAACACCTAGATGGGGGGCTCGTTATCATTGGGAATAAGAATGGAGGGCGCCCACGACAGCCCCAACCAAAGGGCTCGCGGGTTTGCTTTTACCAGTCTGATTCCCAGCGTACCTGCGTCAGAGAAGGCATTCCACGTGGAATGATGCTATTTCCTTGGTTTGGACACTCTTTTCTCTTTGTATGAATAGAGAGCGCCAAACCGTACGGAAGGTTCATCGGGGATCGGGAGAAGGTTTTTGGTGTTGCCGCTCCCGTGCGTTCCGCTCCCCCTTCACATAAAGAGACTGGAAAGAGAGGGGTTGGACCCTTAGATTGCCTAAGGTAGTAGAGCTCATCACGAGAGCTGCAATGGGAAAGTCTCGCAGCAGCCACCTTCGGGGATAGCTGTCAGCTTTGGATTTTGTAAAGCACTCGTCTCAGTCCGGCGATGATGATGCGTCAAAGGTGTTTTCCCTAAGGCGTTGCTATTGTTGAAGACTGAAAAGTCATGGGTCCTGGTCGACGTGCCTGTCGATCTCTCTCTGAATCTGCCCGAAGCCGAGCAGAATTATCCCTTGACAGCAGCACATGGAAGATCCAGGATGAGTGAAGGGCAGGACGTGTCCGGATGCAGCGATCGACAAGCGAGTGCTGCGTTACGTGAGCCTTTCTATGCCCCTTGTTGAGCCGCACGCGTTGTGTCCGAGGGAACATATTGCCAGAAAGGGAGCCATACGAGATACATTCAGCCCATGCTCCTGAAGACTCGGGGCAACCTGCGCACAGCAACCTGGCGGTCAGGAATGTCTGTTGTCGATAGACTGGAATGATTCTGTCCCTCAGAAGCCCGACTGCGGACACCGATAAAGTGGTGTTGGGACCCATCCCACGCAGCTTTGATTAACCCCGCGGCGCCACACTATGCAAGTGGCTAGCCGATAGGGAGTGCCAATTACACCAAAACTGAACGTCACTTTTTCTTATTGAACCAATTGCCCAGCGATACCAGGCAGCATTTTTGATCTCCTTTTCACATTTCCGTCTTGTTCCATTCACGTTTTTGACTGTTTCGTACCCGTTGTTCCGCCTTAGTCGACTCACAAATAGCTCGCATTGTCTGTATTATCCAGACAGACCTAGCCATAACACAAAATCCATCTCGTCTGCAGCGTCAAACTCCAGGACCCCTGAGCGACGACCACCATGTCCGACGTATTCCGTAAAGTAGGGAGAGGAGGCTCAGGGAACTTCTTCTCGAAAAAGGACGTGGACAATGCCGAGAGGGCGAACCCAGAGGTAATGCGCAAGATTGGACCGACCTTCTCAGAGGAACGCTTGGCTGACTGACAATGCCCACGACAACAGGACATCGAAGCCCAAAAGTCAACCGACGTCGCCGCTTCCTCAACATCACCGACCTCGAGCGGGTACGTGCGCGCTGGACGAGGAGGTTCGGGCAACTACGTAGACCCGACCTCTTTGCCCGGCACCAAACAACAAGAGGAGCTCGCGAGCAAGACACAGGCGGCAGTGAATGCTAGCATTGCGCGGTCGGCGGCGAGGGGCGCTTCTGGCCGCGGCGGCGCCGGCAATTATACGGGTAGCGTCCCTGGTGCTGAGACGACCGAGGAGGTGAAGCGCAAGGAGGCACTCGAGAAGAAGATTATTGAGGATGTCGAGGCTGGTCTGCCCATGCCGCCCAAGGCTTTTCACCACACTACCAAGAAGGAAGAGGAGGGTGCTTGAAACGTGCTTGGAACCATAACACCCGGACTGGTGTGTACGGTACCACGGCATGCTCCTGCCGTGAATGGGATTGAGGGATACCTGGAGTTGGGGGGTTTCGTTTGTATAACATCTCAAAAGGCATTGATACCCGCAACGCTCATCTTGAGCGGTTTCACTTGCATGTTTTGAAGGCATGTAGGAGATTTGACAGTTTGTAAGCCTGCATTCGCTATGTCTAGTTTGCTCGCTCCTTTTGTGAAAAAGAGGGCGCGGCAACAACATGATGGCGCGCGTTCTGTTAGCATGCCGTTGATTCACTCCAGACAATGTCCGATACCCTCGAGAATGCGGGGTACATCCGGAAGACTATCCCAGACGACACGGATCGAGAGGATACGGCATCCACGAGGCGGGAGGAAAGGTGGCGACTGAGATGACGGAGGAACCGATCTGGATCAATCTGAACCTTGAATAACTTTTTGTGGTATTCCTTCTCAGAGCCACCAAACGCCGTCGATGCTAAATCCCCCTTTTGTATCCCTGAACGCCCGTATATAAAAAAAGCATAGCCCCCCAAAACCAACTCTTGTCTCCGCAGAAGGAGAGCGGAGAGAGAAGAGAGAGAGGTCCATTCGATTAGCATTTTGTTCTTTCTTTCTCTTCGTCCGTTTTGTTGGCTTTTTGTTTTTTCTCGTCTTCTCCTTTCCCTCGATGGGGGGAAGGGAACGCCTCCCTCCTCTCCTTTTGGTCGGTTCGTTAAAAGAAAAGGACGTGACAAAAGAACGTCCCTCGTCGTCGTCGTCGTCGTCACTCTCAATCCTCCATGTCGACATCGCCGTCCTCGTCATCATCATCCTCCTCCGCATCCTCATCGTCCCACTCGCCATCGTCCTCCTGCATGACGCCGCCCTCGCGCTCCTCGACAATGTCGCCGTCGACAGTGACCCGCTGGCGAATCTTCTCGCGACCAAACACCTTGCCGGCCTTGCTCTTGGCCAAGCGGCCCTCGGCCTCGAGCGCCGCAATCTCCTCCTCGGTGGCGCCCTCGGCGGCGAGCCTCTTCTTCTCGGAGCCGCGCATACGGGGAAGCAGGTGCTCGTTCTCGGCGACGAGCTTGCGAGCGGCGGCGATCTCGCGCTCGCGCTTGCCTTGCATGCGCTTCTTGTAGAAGACGCGCTCGCGGCGGGACCGGATCTCGGAGACGCGCTCCATGGCTTTGAGCGTCTTGGCGACGAGGTCGCGGTCGTAGCGGACAGGGACGTTGCGCCGCGCGCCGAACTGGAGGGTGCTGTCGACCGTCATCTCCTTGTGCGCCGAGGCGCGGTAGGCCTTTGTCCACTTGAGCTTGCGGGGGTTACGCTTCATCTTGAACTGTAGTGCCAAGAGGCGGTTAGCCATTGGCCGATGGGAGGCGTGTTCGCAAAGTCCTTGAAGACAACTTAGAGACGTACGTTCTTGTGGCACTTGCTGCGGCAGAAGCGAAAGACCTTGGAGTCATTGCGGACAAAGGTGATGCCCTTGCTGGGGTAGGCAGGGCGACTGCAAAAGTAGCACGTCTCGATTCTAGAAGCATCATAAAGTTAGAAAGCCTGCAAACCAAAAGAATTGAAAGTAAACCATAAATCAATGGTTGACATGTAAGACAATGGAATACTAGACAAAAGCATACCTCATTGTGACGGCGTTGATACCTTCACGGGTATCACGGAACTAGTCACACGGTTGTTGGGTTGTTGGTGTTGGTTTCGACGACTCTTCCAAACACACACACACGGGGAGGGTTCAGAAGGCGGTGATCGAAGCCTCGCCCTCCAAAAGTTTTTTTAGAAATTTTTCTTCTGCCGCTCCGAGGCACCGCTTATCGATAGTGGTGGGGCTGGGGGGATGGAACTGACGGGGGGTGGTTCTTTGCTGTGCGATAAGATTGCAGCGGGATTGGTGGGACTCTTGGTCCTGCTGATATAAGCCAGCATCTGGGCTTCAATTGCTTGTCGGAACGGCCCAATAGGTCTTCCGAAAAACAGTTCAGCACGGACCATGACCGGCGCATCGCGGCTTGCTCTATGAGCGGCGGCGAATGTAGCCCCAAAAAAAAAAGCATTCTTCCGACTCCGAAGACCTTCTTCGCGATACCCCATCCGCATTTTTCCGCAGTCATCCACCATCTTCCAACGACTCACCGACGACACATAACACCGAAATTTTGGCGACAATGGCTTCTGTTCTTGCTATCGGAGGTGGCGCTGCCGTCGCAGCTTTCTTGGTACGCTCCACGAGACAAGCAAAAGCGCATTCCCTTTAAAACACGACTAACCCAAGAGTGTTTCCTACAGGGCCGAGCAGGTCTGGTCGCATGGCGCCGATCACGCGGCGGCGTGGGCGCGATGGGCAAGGCTTTCTACAAGGGCGGTTTCGAGCCCAAGATGAACAAGAAGGAGGCCTGTCTCATTCTGTCCCTTCAGTAAGCCGAACGAACCCCCGATACGTCAACCGGGCGAAAAACTTGGAACAACCGGTCAACCTGGAAAGGTCGGATGGAAGAAACAACGTCTAACATTATGTGTTCTCAGGGAGAGCGGCGTCACTCGTGACAAGATCCGCAAGCAGCATCGCACCTTGATGCTCCTGAACCATCCCGATCGAGGCGGTAGCCCGTACCTCGCGACCAAGGTCAACGAGGCCAAGGAGCTGCTCGAAAAGACAACATCCTGACACTAGCCGTCATTATTTCGGTTTCCGAAAATCTGGAATGTAACAACAAGCACGAACAACATACGAAGGAAAAAATAAGATGCCATGGTTCACTACGGATGGGCGGACGGGCGGGCTTCATCATGCCCAAGCCCGAAGCCTCGTAATGGAATGGTATTGTAATAACACATTGGTCGTTCTTCATAGCGGTGGCGTTTTATGGGCGACGATATGGACCTTTTTAGAGGGGTTCTTAAAAGAGGGGGTTTCGCGTATGGCCGGGCTAGGATGGTCTGGTCTTCTGGGTAATGGGGTCCCTGTAACATTATGTTTAATGGCATGAGGCCCTCTCGTCTCTCTTCTCTCCCATCTATCTATGATGTCATTGCATATATCTCCATTCTGTGAGCCATCTATGGAGGAGCTCCTCCAAGAGCGTAAGACGAGCAGGTTGAAAGCGAATGCAAGCATTCCGAGATGAGGAAACTAGCAGCGGATCGACCTAAATTGCCTTTGTTTGTCTAGTCAGATGTAATGCGAGATTGCTATCGCCAGGAAATATTGGATACCGGGCTGCTGCTTTGATTGTCGATGAGTTATTCGGGACTGAGCAAGTTCGTTGAATTGTCGTTGTGGTGTAAGAGAAGACTGAAGTTCTGCCATCTAGCTGTACTGCAAACCAGTTTCTGATCTCAATCGTATCGATGCATACACCCACCCATGACAAAAGCCAAAAAGCTGAAATGCTTTTACGGCTTTACCGCCAGATGCTTTCACCACTTCTAGTCAACTCACAGCATGATTTCGCCCTCAAAACACTTGACCTCGCAAACGCTCGGGCTGAGGCATGCTTGTTCATAATTACCCAGAAGCATCCCGCCCAGATAGCTTCAACCTCTTTCCTGCTTAAGATTTGATGGACTGCCGGATGCCCCAAAGTACATTTTCTCGGTAGGAAGACTTGATGTGATAGTTCTTGTTTCCAATCCGCTGACTGCAGTAAGTAGACGTGATAAGCTCTGAGATTTGTCTGCAAGGTCCTACCATGCCAGTCATCCTTTTCTCAGAGGCAACTCAGTCGCCAACGCATCGTTGAAGTATCGAGTCCTTCTCACTGAAGTAAAGTTGGTCTTTACATGACTCTCCACAGTTGAGAGCGTTCGACTTGGCAAAGACCCTCTCAGTAGTGACACGCTGACTTTCGAAGACCCACAAGCTCTCTCAATGCCTCTTTTCTGGCAGGAGATCGTGCATGTTCAAAGAGCACAAGTGAGATTCTCATCATCCCAAACAAAGCTGCTCCACGAGGAGCTGGAGTAGGTGCCGCCATTCTAAGCCACAGATAAAGGTGAAGGGTCTCCATGCCAATATTCATAGCAACAGCATTTGAATGGGCATAGCACTACGTTCCTGAGGGAACCTCCCACATCTAAGTTTTTCGGTTTTGCCGCATATATCTTGATCCCTCCATCTGGATCATTCTATAGTCCTACTGAGTATTCCATGTGGAGAAGCATCGTTCGGGAAGGTACCTCATCTCACTGCCTCTTTCTCTTTCTTCGTTCTCTCGTAGCCTTCTGCCTTTGGAAGGGAGCCTACGCTCAAAGATCTCTTCTTCTATCTCTGCCAAGTTCAACTCAGCCCTCGTCAACCCAGCTACTCCCATTAATCTCACTTTCACACGTGAGCCTCAGTTTTACACTCTTGACCAAAAGAATCCTTTCTGGCCAGTTCAAATTACTTCTTCCGTCTTTCGAAACTTCACCTACCAAACCTGTCTTACCATCTACATCCTACGGCATTCTTTACATTTCTGTACACTGACTCCACAATGGCCGTCACCCAGGCTGAACAGATTGAGCGTCTGTTCGGGGCCTTTGGCGATGAGATCTTCTTCGAGGAAGGAGCTTCACAAGAAGTGGAAGATGCCCCAGAGGCAATGATCCTGGACCCTCTCCTACTCGATCGCCAAGTTGCAGCCAGGAAAGCAGCAATTCAGGGAAGGTCCGTCACCAAGCCAGTCGAGAAGAAAGCTCCCCGCTACATCGGACCACCTCTTGAGCCTTCCAAATCTGAGAAATTAGCTCCTGCGGATTTCAACGCCCTAATGAAGCAAGACTTTCCCGAGTTCAAGGGGATGAAGGCGGGCGACCTCTCTGCGGAGAACGCGACCTTCGTCTCGTGGGATGTCGTCCAGAGATACCCCTTCAGCTTCATCGGCAAGACCAATCGACCCAAGGTGAGCAGCTTGCGCCAAGATGCCTCGTTTCTCTAGCTAACGCCGGCTATAGGCAACTCCCTTCTTCGATGCCATAAGCGAGGAGCAGACGTGGGACTTGTAGGTGATCGCCTAGAATGCGACGGGCCCATACTATATGAGAAGAAAATAACACTTTCTAGCTTTTACGTCTACCATCCCAAGGCCCTGGATCAGTCGCCCTATATCTTCGTCCCGACGGTTCAGTTCCAGCACTTCCTGGACGTCGTCAATGCCTCAATCAAGACGAATCTGACCATCCCTGCTGGTAAGCCAGGCGAGATGTTCTATCTCGTGTTCGGCTCCAGCTGCACCATCCGACCCAAGTACATCGCCCGCTCCGCCTCGCACAACGAGTACCGCGCACTCGCCGACGCGATCCCCCCTGCCGAGGAGGACGATGCGTGCGCCGACGCCACTGCCTTTGGTATGGAGGCGCTCATGAAGCTGCTCAAAATGCACGCCAACTACAAGGATATCAAAACCAAGAGCAAGAAGAAGAAGCAGGACAAGGCGCTGAACCGGGCCGAGTCCATCTACGATGCGCAGCTGTACCTCGGCCTTCGACCCAAGGCCAGCGATGTCAATGGGAAGAACAAGAAGGTCGAGCTGGACAAGCCGGTCCCTCATGCGCTGGAGCAGAATGTGGTCTTTGTGTGCATCGACATTGAAGTCGCCGAGGAGCACCATGGAACTGTCTTGGAGATTGGCATCTCGATTCTGGACACCAATGACCTCGTTGGCGTCGCGCCTGGCAAGAACGGTCGCAACTGGGTTCCGTTCATCAAGAATCGCCATCTTGTCACCGATGAATATCGTCACATTCGCAACCGCAAGTATATCAAGGGTTGTCCCGAACTCTTCAACTTTGGGTACATCATTTCACTGCCACTCTCCAAGAACAAGCGTCAACTAACAACTAACAGCAAGAGCGAGTACCCCAAGCTCAGCGAGCTTGGTCACAAGATCAGCACCGCCATCAGCGATCTCTCCTTTGGCGGCAAAGAAGACGCCGCCGACAACGACAAGCGCCCCCGCACCATCGTCCTCCTCGGCCACGACCTCGGGGCAGATCTCGGATACCTTGATAAGATTGGCGTAGAGCTCTGGGGCATCAGCGGCGTCGCGAGCCGTACCCTCGACTCCAAGGACATGCACCAGGCCTGGCGCGGCGAGTCGCAGGGCCGGAGCTTGGGTATGGTGCTGACTGACCTCGGCATCGAGCACAGCAACCTCCACAATGCGGGCAACGATGCGGCGTACACCATGCAGGCGATGCTCGGTGTGGCTGTCAGAGACAGGGTTGACAAGGAGTGGGAGAATGCTGAGAAGGAGCGGACTGAAGCGAAGTGAAGTTTCTCGGACTGGAATGTAGAGGAGTGCTCTTCTTCTACACGTTCACAGAAGCACCTTTGGAACACGGATAGATAGACAGGCGTGCATAGGAATTAGTCTTTTGCTCATTTGGGGCATACGCTAGATACCCCCTAGACTATCTCAAATTTCCCAACGCCCGCTATGATTTGACCCGTCACTCATTTTGACTTTAAGAACTGCAGCTCAAGTTAGCAAATGTGACCTCTCAACGAAATTGATCCCCAAAAAAGGGGAGCAAAGGAGACAAACCTCATCAGCCTCTTCACTCTTGACATTCGAAACCTCCGACGTCCCCTGATCAATCAACCCCAACCTCGACGTCCTCACCCGCCACCACATCTCTCTCCGGTCCCCACCCAACTCGCCCGAGAGCATCTTCTTCTTGAGATCTTTAATCAGGTCATTATAGACCCCAGGCTCCTCGAGCTCGACGAGCCCGCGGCGTAGGACGCTCAGGTTCTCGGACGCGCGGGCGTACTGGCTGTCGCCGAAGCTGTCCGTCACGAGCTGGGCGACGACGGCGGCCATTTGCTTTGCGGCATCGCGGATCTCGGACTCATCTTCGGCGAGGGCGAGGGCGCGCTTGAGGTCCGGGATGGCGTTTTCGGGTGTGACTTTGGGGCGTTTGCTGGAGGTGGATTTTGATGTTGTTCCCAAGAGGGCGTCTACGTCGAGGCCGGAGAGGGGTTTTGAGGGTTCGAATTTGCGTTTTCCCTTTGCTTTTGGGGGGACTGTCGTAGTTGTCAGTTAAACCGAGTCTTGGAAGGATAGGACAGGGAAAGGGGGGTGTGGTGGGGGAAGGGGTTGGTTCTTACCTTTCTTCACTTGTGCTGCTGAGATGAGGCCCTCGATTTGGGATTTCGATTTCTCGACTAGATCTTCTGGGGGTGCGGCGTAGCGGACTAGGATGGGAGGTATTGGGTCGATCTGGCCTTCGGGATTGACTGCCCTTTGGCGGATGGCTTGGTTGATTCTGTGGATGATTGGGTTGTACACGTCATCTATGGCAGCGTACTCTGATGGTTTTCTTCATCATAGAGAGTCAGTGGATGCTGAAATGATAACATCACGTTGGGAAGACGTACCCATCATCATCGGTACTAAAGATACCAAGATCCATAGAGTCGACGTAGTCGCTCATGGCATCTGTGAGCTCGTCGCCAGGGAGCAAACGGTGATTTGTCGTGATCTTCTGCCCGCTGACGGTGATGACCTTGTCGAGCGGCGGGAACTGGTATCCGCGAACATCCTCTGCAAAGGGGAGGGGCACATCGTATAGGCACTCCATGTCTGGCTCGATGCGCGGAGCCAAGAGGACGAGGAGGGGGTCCTTCTTCTCCTTGACCACGAGCCGGGCGACGGCGTAGGACTCGAGCTCGTAGAGGGCGTGGATGAGGGAGGACAGCGCGAGCTGCGACTTTTCGTCAAACTTGCGGCCGACCGTCACGCACGTCTCGCCCATGTTGAGAAATGGCTCGTACTACGGTGGGAGGTTTCTTGTTAGAGAAGGAAAAGGGGCGGAATTTGCATGGTGGGAAGAACGTCTCTCAGGACTATACCTTTTCACAGGGAATGAAACCAATGATGCTAAACGTCTTGACCGTTTCGAGCTTGGTGACATTCCACTCGGACTCGCTGATTGCGACGGCTGTGCGGCCGTACTGGTAACCCTTGGCCAGGGCATCAAACTCGACATCACGCTTACCGCCCGGTGCGTCCGGGTCGTTGATCTTGTACGCCCGCGCCGACTTGACCGCCGCGAAACCAGCCGACGTCGACTCGACACCCTCCATGGGATCGCCGCCTTCAACCTGCTGTGAGGAGCCTGGCTCAGCTGATACCACGACAGTGGAGGCGGTCGGGGCTTTGGCTTGCTTGGTCTTGAAGTAGCGCTCGACGTTGATGACTGCGGGCGTGGGTGGGATCTTGAGGTCCTCTGGAGGATCGGCAAGACCGAGCGTCAGGGGCCCGTCGTATGTCTTGTAGGGCTTGACGAGTTTGAGGCGTGGTGTGTCGAGCTCGTCGATGGCCTCTGCAATGGTTGCGAATTGGGCATTGTCACATTTTGAGACAAAATCATGAAGAATTCCCTCATTCTTTTTCTGTTACAACGTGTTAGTCATACGAGGCAGAGAATAATCACAGATACCGTACCTTGATTGACGGCTTGTCCTCTTCCTTAAAGCCATACTCTGCATCGTCAAAGTCCACGCCCCTGGAGGGTGTTAGTGCGAGGCCTACGCTGATGCAATTGATGAACTCACAGGACAATCAGCTCAATCCCATCATGATTAATCTTTTTTGCAATCGAATCCACATCATCGCCGTCAATCTCAGACATGCCGTCGGTAATAAGGTAGATGCGCCGCTTATACTTGAGCTTCTTGGTAAACGTCTCAATCATGTCCACCGCGAGGACCACCGCGGATACCGCATCGCCCGTCTCCGTCTCGCTCGGCTTCACCGCATCCGTGAGTTCCCTCAGAGAAGTCATTGTCATTGGGCCGAGCTCCTGCAAGACTGAAAGGTTGCCGTATCCCTCTTCCTCTCCCATGGCGTTATTGGTCTCATCCGTATTGAGGCCGATGACGCCGACGGTCCATGTTTTTCGCGAGGCAGCGACTGTGGTTGAGATCTTGTCCCATACGTACCGCATGCTCCAGTCCAGGTCGGACTCGGTGCGGCCGTTGTGGCAGTCGGCCATGGAGGATCCGAGGTCGACGATGTAGACTGACGCCTCCTTGTCCGCCATCTTGAGGATGCTTAGAAGAAGCAGAGGTTTTGGGACAGAAGATTTAAAAGTAAGTCATTAGGCTCAATGTAAGGCCTTTCAGCATAGAGAGGAAGTTCTGAGCGGGCGATGGAGGGTGTGTTTAAGAGGGACGTTGGCGCATAGAGACTTTGACCTAGATCCTGGCTCAGTTTAGGCAGATGAGGTCCATCGAGCTCCAGGCTCCAGCGCGACCTGGGGTACCGCGCTACAGCTGCTGTAGGTTGGCTTTCGCAAACACGAAGTCACGTGTTGATAGCGATAAGACATTGGAAGAGACCAGCGAATCAATCACCTCTTGACTGTCAGCTCCTGATTTAAATCACAACCATGTCAGTACCTCGAAATGCCTTCTCGAACGAGAGTCGATTTTGCGAATTCAGCGTCAAGTTCTGAGGAAATATTGTGCACCCAGCTTCATATGTAGACCCCGAGACATTGGACTTGCAAGCAAGGCAAGGACGGAAGTTTAAGGACCCCGAGCTGGCACTGGTGCAAGGAATGGAGCTATGCCGAGGTGACCTCATACATTCGACGGGACCCCTGTACTCCTCACCAGCGGCTCGTTCCAGATGGCACCGCATCATTCTGCAGCTTCTCAATTAATGCAACCATTCTTCATCATCTAACCTCACCTCCAAGCGGGATACCTTCCATTATCAAAAACCGTGCATCAGTGACCACCGTTGCCCATCATGTCAGAGTCCATCGCATTCTCCCCGGGTCCCTACCACATCATCTCGTAAGCCGTTCCCATTCCCTCTCTCTCAGCTGCACCGAGTCAGATCATCCATCGTCGTTGATCAATGACCTGATATTCTCAACATAGCTATGGAGCCCTCCTGGGAACGACATTCTTCCATGTAAGTCACTGCCGCGATTCACACACTGGCCCGCCAGCCACCGCAAGAGTCCACTAACAGGACGAAACAAGTCCTTCGTAAATGGCATCACAATGTTCCGCGTCCTCGAGCGACCGGCCTTTGCAACCGCCCAAAACGCCCTGTTCCCCGTCTACTTCACCATCCAGACAGCCCTCCCCGCCCTCATGGCCCTCACCTACCCGGGCAGCCGCAGCCTCCTCGGCGAGCAGGCCAGCAGCATCAGCGGCCTCCTCCAGGAGTCGAACCGCTACACCGCCCTGCTGCCCATCGCCACAATGTTCCTTACCGGCCTCGTCAACCTCGTCGTCGTCCTGCCCAAGACCGTGACGGTCATGAAGGCTAGATATGCTCAAGGTGGGTCGAAACTGGCGACAGCTGCACAGGCGGCGATGTTTGGGATGAAGGGAGTTGTACTGACTTATTGGACGCAGAGAAAAAGGATGGAAAGAAGAGCTACGACGCCGCGCCGCATTCTCAGGAGATGCAAGCCCTCAACAAGTCTTTCGGCAAGTTGCACGGCATCTCCACCCTTATCAACCTGGCAGGCTTCATCGCCATGATCCAATACGGCTTCTCGCTGGCAGCGCGTCTTGACTAAGGCCATGTCTATGTATCATAGGTAGTGTAAGAGTGCAGATTGGATGACTGGTTAGGTTGGCCGAAGCCATGTATTAGGGTTTAACTCATCGCACGTATGTACAACTCGGCAGATTACCGCAAAAACGCAGTACGTTGTCACTTTTCCCGTCCCTTTTATCCATGTTCATCAAGCAACCCCAAGAATAAAGAAATTGCTCATGCTCGAATGAAACGCCGTTTGGTGAGGTGCAAAGACATTCATCTCTGTGCGCTACTGATTGCCCAGATATTCCAATGTCCGACGCCTCTGCCTTCCTCTCCGACTGCTAGTGCTTCCACCGTCCGTCCATCAATCCGGTTTTACGCCTGGGTATCGTCTTCGACTGGCGCACGGTGCCCGACGCGAGTCCGTTCGCGTGCCGAACAAGCCGTGTGTCGAAGTGAACTGAAAATGCAAGAACACTGAAATTCAATTGTCGTCGCCGGCAGTATCTCGTAGGATGCCTCGCCGTTGCCGTAGCCAGCGACGTCTTGTCCCATTTGGCCGTGATTCGTCGTCGCCTAGAAGTTGTTCTTTTGCGGCGGGAGCGGAACGTTCTTGAGAGCCTCGCTGGAGGCGAACAGCTCCTTCTTGGCGTCCTCAAGGGCCTTGCGGCGCTGAGCCTTGATCTTCTCCTCGTCGACAACCTGGACGGGTCGCTCGACGGCAATGGATCCTCTGACAGTCCAACGGCCAGGTTTGCGAGAAAGAGCCTCCTCGACGTCGATCTCGGTAGTAGGCTTGGGAAAGTCGCGGGAGAGGGGCGGCAGGGGGTTCTTGCTCTGGAGGGCCGCATAGGTTGTGACAGTGCCACCAGGAGTGATGACGGGTCGGTCCTGAATCTCGGCGGATGTGCGTGAAGAGGTGGTTGTAGAGCTCTGGATAGTGGTGAAGTAGTCACCCTGGACAGAGGCGTCGGTGGAACCCGTGACGGGGGTCTGTACGTTGTGTGCCTGAGAAGCCATTGTGTAGTTGTAGGTTGGGAGGGATGAAAGGTTGAGCAGTTGCTCTTCAGAAATTGGGATGGGTGCCATGGCTGCTGATATATGTGCTATCGAAAAGCTGTCTCCGGTGGGGTCTGATTTGCCGCTTTTTTCGGTCCAATGCTGATGAGACGATTGTTTGGGCCGGTGGAGAAAGATAGCGTAGGTCCGTAGGGAAGAGTCAGATTCCGCGGGACTATTTTGAGTGGGTGTGGGAGGAAAATAGGGATTAATTTGGACCAAGGTGGACAAGGTTATGGAGAAAGGGCAGCAAGGTAGGGACGAGCCAGGGAACCGTGGTGTGTGGATGTGGTTGATGCTGAAGGTGGGCGGACGAGAACTCTCGTATCAATGTTTTTAATGCTGCTTTTGGGTGCAAAAGGGGCGGCGACCGAGGGAACCTTGGGTGATCGTGACGAGGGAAAGAAAGTCAAAATCTCGACGGAAGGCTCTTTCAGTTCAAAACTGACTGCTCTGGTGACTTGTGACCGTAAAATCCGAATGTGTGTGGCGATGAAGCGGGGAGAAGCAGATTTATAATACCTTCCGTCCGAAGCAAACGACTGATTTTCTTTTCTTTTTTTCTTTTGGGGGTTGTGTCTGATGTGTCTCCCGTGGGGGAAGGAGCAACGGACCGAAAGGGCAATAGCGATGAAAACTCGTTCATCACCTGAAGTGCGGCGTGCCTGCAGCCTCGGTGTGTTGCAATTTTCAACCGGGAAGGGTCCGTAGAGACGGATCGGACTAGTAAACTTTTTTTTCTCATCATTCTCTGAGTCTAAAGTAGTTACTAGCCGTGTTGTCTGCTTCACCTTCCTTACACGGGACCTTTCCCATGCTTAGCTCCCCACGCCGAACGTGGCCAGCCTGTCAGCCGCCCAGCCAAGCAACCACCCTCATCCACACCCAAACGTCCCCCAAGGGCCAATACTCACGATCCGTGCCTTTCCCCGGACGAGGGTCTCTACCTTGCTGCAGCTCGACTTCTCTCCTCGTGAGCTCCCCAAGACACCCCACGCTCATTCCCCAGGGTCTCTGCCTGGTCTGTGAAACATGCGAAAGCGGTGAGGCAGCCATTCACCTACACCGCCCGAGGAATGAATCATTGTGCTTGTCACGGTCGGCCGCTTCGGGCAACTTCCTCATCCTGGTCCAGCTTAGGAAGCAATAGAACGAGACCCCATGGCATGCCGCGCACGCAATTCGGCCTCGGATTGTGTGGATGAAAGCCCGCGGGGGTTGGGATGTCAGATGCGACGCCGTAGTCGGAGGTTCAAACGACGTCGCGAACGGAAGAGAGCCGCTGTGCCAGCCTCCCGGTGGTGGTAACATTACTGACAGACATGCAGCGGAGCCAAGCAGAATTCCATCCATTGATCATCAGGGACTAACATTTCCAGGGTCCGCCGCTTATTCTGGTCCGTTGCCGCTGATCGGCACAATGGCCCCCGATCCAGAGTTCTAGACAAATCTGCGATCTGCCACCACTGAACCCCCGTGCACTCGTGCACTTGCGACGGCATCCTATCCGGCTCCCACGGAGGTTTCGGAGCTTCGACGTTATTATCTCAGGCACTTGGCACTTGAAGGATGGCAGACGGACACGGCGGACGGCCTGACGGATTGCGCGTCAATTCAATCTGTTAACGGAGATCGGCATACGTCAATGGAACTGTCAGATGCACCCGTTGGCGCCTACCGTATTTACGGTACGGATACCCTTGTCATCCGAGAAAAAAGCAACGTGATGGGGAATTAAGAAAATTGGCACATGGAAAATCCGTTCTTGACGCCACCACGCCCGGACACCCCGTTCAACGATTCATTGTTTCCATGCGATGACAGCTCTCCACCTGACGTCACCTGGCTTTACATTTGTCATCAGCGTCAGATACCTCAGATGCATTTTGTTCATGCAGAAGCCCAGGCGGTAGGAACGGTATTACAGATGGAGACACGAGGTTAGCAGATTCGCAGAGGTGCTGACACAGCTGTAATGCAAGCCCGGTAGAATACAGAAACCCCGCACCCGGAGCGTTTGTCTGCTTTCTTCTCCTCGGCGTGGGGGCCGTTCGACCACTGCGACCGGCAGCGGGATTGCACGGCGCTTGTTGTCTTGCATTCCATCCATCCCATTCACCAGGTTGCATGGATGCTTCTAGGTCGCCTTGCGCTGCTGAATATGCTGGAGGAAGCTCATTTCGACCTAGCTGCATTCCTCAATCATTCCGGCCCATGGGGAGCTCCCCGTTTTGTTGAAATGCTTGTGAGCGCCATGCCACTGTCCCTGGACAAGAATGCGGGCTTGCATTGTTAGATGCTGCAATGGTCCGGTTTCGCAGACATGAGGTGAGAGCGGAATCGAATATGTCAGAATCTGAGATGAATGCGAATAACAATCCCAGCCATTCTACTTGTCTCAACTGCAATGGACAAAATCTGGGGAAATCAGCTTGGGGAACACAACGCTCAACGCAGCGATGAAGTCTCATCGAACATTGCCTACCAAGTAGGTGACAAAATAAGATGCTGGTCAGTATTGTGTCACTTTTTAAAGTACCTGCTTTCCTGTCTCAAGGCATTCCGACACCCATCTCCTCAACATTTGGAAGACCTAGTAGACTCGGAAAACAAGACCTTGGCCCATTGCATCCAGACCAGAGAGCCACAGACATGTTTCTGAATCTCCCCTCAGTCTCACTTTTTGCTCCCCAGATTTCAATAATCCCATGCCAACGACCCCCATCCAGAGAGCCGGCCGTCACTCGCAAGTTGCAAGGCCAAGCACCCGTCAGCACCCTGGGGACCAATCGGACGATGGCCGTCCGACCTCACTCCCCCACTCCGTCATCAGCGCCGCATGCCAGAAACCCGCTTCCGCACCCTTGTCCCACCATCCCGAAACTCAACCTCTAGAACGAACTGCACCTCATACTCACTTACCTAGCCCAGTCCGATACTTTTTTGTTGAAATCTAAACACCAAGCTCCTAAAAGTTCACGATGTCTCAACAACAGCAGCCCAAATACCTCACCGGCGACTCTGCCGCCACTCAAGAATTCCTCGACAAGTTTGACGTGAGCAGCACACCCCCACCTCGTTGAGTCATTTTCACCAGTGGAGAATCTCACGATGTTTCCTGAATGTCAGAAAATGAGATGAGTGGGTTACTGACCACGAGATACAGGTATTTCTCATCGACTGTGATGGTAAACCTCATCGTCCTCATTCCGGATGAGCAAACGCTTCTTCCTTCCGCCGAGCAACAACTGACAAGTCTTGTCCCTCTCCGCAAACAGGCGTCCTCTGGTCCGGAGACCACCTGTTCGACGGCATCCGCGAGACGCTCGCCTTCCTTCGCTCAAGAGGTTGCTCACCCTGAACCCCCCTCTTTTTGCATGAAATTTCCGCAAAAATCGCATCTCTGAATTCTTTGGCCCCTAACCTCATGAGTGCTCGTTCTCCCCCACCAACAGGCAAGCGCACCGTCTTCGTAACAAACAACTCGACAAAATCCCGCCAAGAATACCACAAGAAATTCGCTGCCCTCGACATACCCTCTGACGTGGAAGACATCTTCGGCTCAGCCTACTCCTCCGCCGTCTACGTCTCCCGCATCCTCGACCTCCCCGCCGACAAGCGCAAAGTCTTTGTCGTCGGCGAAGCCGGCATCGAAGCTGAGCTCCGCGCCGAGGGCGTCGACTTCATCGGCGGCACCGACCCGACTCTTCGCCGCGACATCACCCCGGAGGACTTTGCCGCCATCGCCGACGGCTCCGCTCTCGACCCGGAAGTCGGCGTCGTGCTGGCCGGTCTGGACTTCCACATCAACTATCTGAAGTTGTCGTTGGGATACCAGTACCTTCGCCGCGGCGCCGTCTTCCTCGCGACGAACACGGACAGCACGCTGCCCATGTCGCACACTTTCTTCCCCGGCGCGGGCTCCATCTCGATTCCGCTCATCAACATGGCGCAGCAGCAGCCCGTTGCGCTGGGGAAGCCGTCGCAGGCCATGATGGACGCCGTTGAGGGGAAGTTCCAGCTGAACCGCGAGCGGACGTGCATGATTGGCGACCGGCTCGATACCGATATCAAGTTTGGTATCGAGGGCAAGCTGGGCGGTACGCTCGCCGTCTTGACCGGTGTGCACAAGAAGGAGGATTGGGAGAAGGAGGGCGCCGCGGCTGTGCCGGCGTACTATGTTGACAGCCTGGCCAGCTTGAAGCTTGAAGCTTGATGCTTGAGAGATGAGTTCGCGGGCTGTGTGGCACGGTTGGAATGAATTTGGTAGGATTATTTCCCTATGACTACATGCTCCAGATGCATAGACGAACTCCATAACGACCTTATTAGAAACTAGAAAGAACCCCCCTAGAAGAGTACACAGATGCAGTTGACCGTCTATTCCGACTTCCTCGATGCGCACCTCACCACCAAAGTAACATATTCCGACGCTGGCTCTCGACAGAACATACCTATTCTAATAGGGGGTACGCAAGGTTTTAGAACCTACTCTATTTCTCCTTCTTGCTCTGGCGCTTGGCAAGCTCGCTCGTGCGAATGACCTTGGGCGCGGGCTTCTTGTACGGAAACAGCGACTTGGGCATAAACATGCCAACCTGGCTCTGATACTCAGCGTACTCGTGGTACTTGCCCGCCGTAATCAACTCAGTAAGCCACGTCGAGCCCTGGAACAACATCACAAGGAACGCGGAGCCCGCGAAGGTGTAGCTGTACAGCACCTTGGTGGCGTAGCAGCTCCACTGGTAGAGCACGAACCAGACCATCTGCTCGGCGAAGAAGTTGGGGTGACGGCTGTAGGCCCAGAGACCGTGCGTGACGAAGCCGCGCTCAAGGTCCGCCTGCGCCCAGCCGCGGGGGACGGCAGCTGTGGCGCCGTTGCCCTTTTTGTAGGTGGCTTTGGCGGTCTGGTAGTCCCATTGCTGGCCGTCGCTGATGTACTCGCTGAGGACGAGGCCGGCGAGGATGGTGAAGAAGGCGTAGTCTGAGGCGGCGAGGTCGGGATCGATGCGGCTGGCGAGGAGGAGGGAGTAGGCGGGTGCGGCGGAGAAGGCGAAGAGGAGGATGGACTGGATGAAGGAGATGAAGGTTACGTTGAAGAGGAAGAAGACCCAGGCAGGGACGTATGCGCGGACGATTTCCCTGAGTGAGTGGACATGTTAGAATACTCGCCGGAGGTGCAGTGATCGCTGGGGAGGGTTCAGTACCATCTGTAGTCTTCACTTCCGCGCTCGTAGCCTCCTTTGCGCCAGTAGTTGAAGGTCAAGCGTGTCTATCGGCACAACGCTGTTAGCAATGCCCTCAAGCTACGTAATAGATCATTCTTGGTATCCTTACACTCCAGAGAGTAGTCGCGGCCCCGGCCAGGGCAACTCGTTGCCAGGGTTCGCCATTCAGATACGCCCATGCCGCCGTGTGCAGGACATACCAGTTTGGCAAGAGACTCCACAGCCGGTCGATTTGCGAAAAGTTGCGGTGGTACTCTGACACGCCGAGAGTGAGGACCGCGATGAGCAAGGAAAAGGCGAAACCGGAGACGAGGGGGTTCGTCTCGAGGTAGATCTGAGGCAGCGACTGCGGGCTCGCGATGATCTTGCCGGGGAGCTCGAGGAGCTGGGGGATGAAGGGTTCGACAACCTTGGCCCACTCGGAGCACTCCTCCAGAGACTTGACTGCGGGGAGCGCCATTGCGAACGAGTTCTATCGGGCTGCTTGGTTCTGGTCAATCTTTGTAGCTGCCAAATTGCACACTTCAGATCGTTGGAACTATGGATGGCTTGCGAAAAGGTATTTTGAAGACCGTCTTTGTTGATCGTGTAGCTGTGGTGGTGCAGATGGGGCCAATTGTACAAAGCGCGTCATAGATCCGCAGGGAGCTTAGGTCCCCGCCGCCAGCTCCGATGCAGTGCAGGGGTCCTCGGCCACTTTGACACCGAAGATCCGTTCTTTGCGGCAATCCATTGGTAGAAAACCGCTGCTTACCGTAATCGATTTGCGAGACAGCACTGAGTAAGGACAGTGTAGCTTTGCAGTGAGAATAAGGACTTCTGACGGTAAGATCCCAGATCTGAGACGGGGTCGATCAATCTACCAAACCTCCTTTGTTGAGATGTAGAGTTGGATCGATGGCTTACGTCAATTTAGTCTTGCATGTGAGGTGGTGGCCACCATCTCGACAAGCTCAGAGCGTACCATTAGGTATTCTAGGTACTCCGGTATATTCCATCGTACGGGGCAATGTCGAAACCCTTTCATAGCTTCCATTGGAATCGCAACTATTCCTCCAAGGAAGCAGCGGCCGTTCTCGACGACGACCGAATGGTAAATTGGTGCTTTGAACACCCTAGTAAGGCACGCGACGGGCAAACCTGGAGTGGTAAACATTCCAACCAGCCGGCCATAGCCGGTAGCTTACCTTCTTGTGACATTTTCGATGCTAGGGAGTTTGGTGACGGAGCGATGCAGCTCCCAGGACAGGTACCTACCTCACCTACAGGCCACGTGGGCCTCGAGACTGAGAGGTCGCAGGTTTGAGCCGACGGGCTTGCTTTACCACTTCTTCCATCCCGATTAACTCCCGGGCATGTACTTACAGGCCGTGATCCAGTTGCCTAGGGATTTGGGTAACTCGACGAGCTGAAGCTACTGTGTAAGCGTCAAGTACCTGAAGATGGCCAACCGGCCCAGGGATCCAGGCATGTCCCGGAGCTGAAGCCTGTAAGCACGCACGAATCAGCCTGGGAGCCCCGCTGTGGGGTTGCACCAGGCCTAGGTACCTTAGCGAGGAAGATGATCTCGACCTCACTTCAACGACGTGCACTTCAAAATCTTCAATGTGTCGATTTCTGACGTTAAAGTTGGGCCAAGCCGTTGGTTACAAGGCACAAGACTTCATCGCAGTCACATACACTGGATCCCTTAGCACGTGTTAGAGACACTGAAAAGCTGGTGTGTGAGGGTTTGACGCGTTTAAGCCTGCGAAGACGCGCCTCTGAGGCAGGAACATAGATATCGCAAGATGCTCCTGCTCTCCCAGCAATAACATTCGTGACTGCACTCGCGGAAAGGATCAAGGACCACAGAACTACCGAGTCACAGTCCATCTACATGCAGTGGGAACCGGTTATCCTGACACACTGAGAACATGAAGGTCCTCTGCGTTGCCGAGAAACCATCCATTTCGAAAGCCGTTGCCGGCCATTTGGCAGGACGAAGCCCTGAAGTCGTCAGTATCACATCAATCAAGCCATATTTCTCTTACAGAAGCTGACATTCCTCAGCACAATACACGGTCTCAATACATCAAGAACTATGGCTTCGACTTCGACTTCGGCGCCCCATGGGGTTCGTGTGGTGTCACGATGACAGCCGTTCTGGGCCACCTCACAGGACTCGAGTTTACGCCAGAGAACAAAAACTGGTCGCACCCGCCACCAGAGAGCTTGTTCAGTGCACCAGTCGTGACCGTAGTACCTCAGGTGCGTCTACTTTGGCTCTCGTCCGGGGTTTCCATGGATTCTGATAGCTGCATGTATAGGACAAGAAAACCGTTGCGGAGAACATTGAGCGGCAGGCTCGATACTGCCAACTTCTCGTTATCTGGACTGATTGTGATCGAGAGGGAGAGCATATTGGAAAAGAGATTGTCAATGCTGCCAAGAAAGGTAACAACCGAATCACCATCAAGCGTGCCACTTTCAGCAACATCGAACGAGCGTAAGCCTGGCCCCTTTTCGTTACATGCGAGAATTGTCTCTGATAGTCTGTAGCCATATTCTCACTGCTGCCCGGCGCCTCACCGACCTTGATCAGAAGCAAGTCGACGCCGTGGATGCGAGAATAGAGCTAGATCTTAGGATTGGGTATGCTTTTACGCGTTTCCTGACCATCAGTCTTCGTCCCCTGGGAGGTGCGCTGCAGGAACGAACAATCAGCTATGGTAAGCTTGTACTTGGCGTGCCATTTATCTTCTAACAAAATGTCAGGCTCTTGCCAGTTTCCGACTCTAGGATTTGTCGTAGATCGGTACTTCCGGGTCCAAAACTTCGTCCCCGAACCGTTCTGGAGCATCAAGGTCATGCACTCCCGCGAAGGCAAAAAGGTCAACTTCGGCTGGTCACGAAATCGCCTCTTTGACCGGATGTCTGTTGTCATTCTCTACGAGCGTTGCATCAACGCGAAAATGGCCAAGGTCACGAAGGTTCAGGAGAAGCCAACGAGGAAGTGGAAACCCCTGCCTTTGACCACGGTCGAGCTGCAAAAGGCAGCAACTCGTCTCCTCCGGATGAGTGGTCAACAGGCCATGACAGTCGCCGAGGGTCTCTACAATAAGGGGTTTATCAGCTATCCCAGAACCGAGACAGATCGTTTTGACAAAGGCATGGACCTCAAAGCACTATGCAGGAAGCAGACGCCTGATTCTCGATGGGGAGAATATGCGCAGAGCCTACTAGATGGGAACTTCCGTCAACCGCGAGAGGGGAAGCATGATGACAAGGCCCATCCGCCCATCCACCCGGTCACATATGCGGCGCCCACAGTATTGAATGCGGATGAAAAGCAGCTGTACGAGTACGTCGTGCGACGGTTCCTGGCTTGTTGCTCTGAAGATGCCAAGGGCCTGGCAACCGACGTGGAAATACTATATGGCGAAGAGACATTCCATACTCGTGGACTAGTCGTCCTAGAGCGCAACTACCTAGACGTGTTTGTCTACGAGAAATGGAACGACTCTGCGGAACTACCGAAATTCACGCCAGGAGAGACATTCCAGCCAACAGAAGCCTTGATGACGGATGGCAAGACAAGTCCGCCAGGCTACCTTACTGAAGCAGACCTCATTGCTCTTATGGATGCCAACGGGATCGGAACAGATGCCACGATGGCGGAGCACATTCAAAAGATTCAAGACAGAGAGTATGTTCAGCTAGCTGACGGGGGTCAACGTGGCCAGGATGGTGACGACGATGATGACGACCGGGATAGACCTCCTTCGCCGCCAGCTAGAGGCGGCCGAGGGGGCCGCGGCAATCGCGGTGGTCGCGGTGGCAGAGGGGGTCGCGGCGCGTCGTCGACCGGACGTAGAGGGCTCAAGGTCTTTATCCCGACGCAGCTCGGCGTGGCCCTCATCACGGGATTTGATCGCATGGAATTCGAAACTAGTCTGGGCAAGCCATTCTTGCGGAAAGAGATGGAGAACAAGATGAAGGCAATCTGCGACGGGCGCATGACCAAGGAGGCCGTCTTGCGGGAAAGTCTAGGTCAGTACCGACAGGTATTCAGGGACTCGCAAGAACGGCTCAACGTTCTCAAGGCGGTAAGTCGGGGTTCCATCACTAAGACGTCTACTACACGCGCTGACTTTACCTAGGCGTGTCGCGAATACATGTCGATTCGCGAGTGAGCCCGGCAATTCGATTGTACGTGATGGCAGATAAGGGCTCAGCCCTTTATGGGTATGCGAGACGCGAAAGTGTCGAAATGAAGTGGGATAATCCCAAACATCGTCGTCGCAGTAGCATGGCTCCATACAACAAACAAGGACCACGGGGCGAGGTTTCCTTATCGATGGTGTCCACAGGAATCCAAACGTGGGTGTGACGACTGGTGCGTCTGGAAGGGTCACCACGGTCCGAGAATCGGCGCCGTTGGCCTACTTACCATTGTCTAGCTCCGAATAAGCTGCGCGACATATCTACAAATTTCTATCATCGTCTGAGGTCTCTTGGCGGCTAAGGTCAGGTCAGCACGCACGCCGGCGCTCTTGGTTTCAACCAGCCGTTCGGGACTAGGAGCAAGGCAAATACGGAAGAGGTCGGGAAAGGCGCAGTGACGAGGGGCGTGGAGGGGTGTGAATGATACCCCGCCGCGATATCTTGGACGAGAAGCGGGGTGAGGCGGCTACTGCAAGTCGACTTGCAGACTTGCAGTTGGTGGGTGCCCGCCCGCGTGAAGGAGGGGGGGGGGGGGGCAACCCGGGCAGAAATCGGCCCAAAGGCGGAGGATTTCCCAGGGATCATTGAAGCCGAGAGGTTGCGAAAGAGAGGGAGGAGGTAGGAAGGTAGTTGCGGCGACGCGGGATCGAATGACCCCACAGACTTCCCGAGGGAGGGATCACATTAGGAACAAAAAGATGGGCACATTGACCATCGGGAGATAGAGGGGCGTCTTTGGTCTGGTCTTGGGAAAACGAGAAGCCTTGGGGCTAAGGACTTTAGAGCCCGAAGCCTCGACGATGCAGCATGTCACAACGTGGGGTTTCGTAAGTGGATGAAGGTGGACGACCACGGGCTCGCGATGGAGGAGCCTGATTCGACGACGACGACGGCATTGACGTAACTACCTCATCGTGAAAACCTACTGTGTTGGGTACGGGATAGTTGTAGAGTTGCATACTTGCGGATTGAGAAACATCAAGTGTCCACATTGACGAGACAAAAGGTACCGTGAAGTATACTACCTATGAAGACCGGGTATTTGTTGAAAATGTTTGGTACTTTGCATTCCTGGATCGCTTCGCATGTTTTCTCCGGGAACAAAACGTGTTAGGTTGCCCTAGAGAGGGTTCATCCGGACGGGGCGTGAGTGATTCTTCGCAGCTGTGGCGCCAGAACCAATCAGATCATGGCCTGGGCGCAACGTGATGGTTGCGCTCGTCGGCGTGCGACGAGAAGAAGTTGGGCTTGGTGGTTTTGCGCGAATTCCGGGCATGACTTTTTGCGTCAAAGATGAGGAAATCTCGTCCATTCCTGGCTCAAAGCTTAGGTATTACAGCCAGCCACAGATGAGGGGAAGAAAGGGTCGCCAGGTACGGGATGCTGGTTAACACACGAGATTTCTGTTGAACTCCACGATATCTCCATTGGGATGTCACTACATGTGGTTTGACACCTCTTACCCTCGGTTTCTCCTCCTCCTCCTCCTCCTGTACTCCCGTATGCGGTACGTCCGACTGCAGGTCGAGGCCTTCCGAAACGCCGAACCCACCAACGACGTTGTGGGATGTTGCCCGGATGCATGGTATATCAGCACATCACCTTTGCATGATGAGGAGGAGGAGGAGGAGGAGGAGGAGGAGGAGGAGGAGGAGGCGAAGAGAAAGAGAGGGGGTGAGTTGTTTATAGACAGTATATGTCAGGTATTGCCGTCTTCTACACGTTTTTGGTTGGTCGGACACTGATACTGGGTATGCCTAGACCACAGGGGCGTGCAGATTATTGTAGGTAAGTAGTCGGAATCAGAACAGATGAGATGCGATTGATTTGATTTGATCAAGCCAAGTTGAGGCGGAAAGCAAGCACATGGACGGATTTGACCAAGAGGCATAGTAGAGACAGAGAGAGGAGAGGGTGCGGCGATTGCTGAAGAAGGCCGTCAGCATGCCGCCCATCGCGAAGAGGGAAGGCGTACGCCGCACGGGAAACCGGAAAAACGCAAGTTGCTACAGTAGAAAGCCTAGAAGCACGGGGTGGCTTTTTTTCTCTAGGTCATTGGGGGCACAAGGGGGAAATCCGGGGGCTGAGGGGGAGATCGCTGCGAGGTGCATCATACGGATACGGATTGCTTCTATAAACCACCCAAAGCATCAAGGTACGAATACCTAGGTGTAGAGATGGGAAGACAGGCGCCTCAGCCGACACGGTTCGGCCGGGTCTGTCGGTCCAATTTTCAGACAGGCAGACTTGAGTTGTGGCGCGCGCCTTGGAAAGATAAGCCCACACATCGCCAAGTTCCATTCTGGCGGTTGATGGTCACCGAATCTGGAAATGATACGGATAACGGATCACTTTACAGATAAGCAGCTGCACCACCACAGTGTCCAACATTGGGAGTGATTTTTTGTGTATCTTTTGTGTGGAGTTAGCCAGAGCCCCAGGGCAGGGCGAGCAGGGCGAAAGGAGAGCGGGATGAGATGGATTTCAGCTGTACCGTGGGGTACAAAGCAACTACACGCGCGCAAGAGAGAGAGAGCAGCTGATTGTTAGGGACACGCCCCCTTTGGTTCAGGTCCAGTTTCCAGTTGCTCTACCCGTCACGAAGCAATTGCTGGGGGGGACTCTGTGCGTGGTCACTGGTTGATGGTGTAGTCTTGGCACTTCTTTGGAATGCCGCAGTGTGCGAGGTCAAAAGTAAAATAGATATCCGTAAGATATTCGAAAAAAAGAATCGCAATGGAAGAAGAAGTGCGACAGCGATGCTGGCGTCGCAGGGGCAGGTGTTGAACCGGGGATTTTTCAGCTGAAGCTCGCGGTTCCTCACTTGCGACTTTGAGGCGCAGGTTTAGTCAGGTCTGGAGTGTCGATCATCTCTAACGCGACGGGTTTAAACTTGGTGCAAGAGGACACGTCGTCGCGTCGGCGGACTAAGACCTCTCTGTAAGAAAATAGCCCATGACATATGGTATGTTTTCTTAGTTGTGAGATGGTTTGCTTAAGACTAGCTTCGTTGTCTCGATCTCACCCAAGGAAGAGAAATAGGAGAAATGGACGATGACGGTCGAGTCCTTTCTCTTGTTCCTTTCTTGGAAGTTGGGTGAGCGCGTGTCTCAGACATGTCCGGTCTGGATCGTCCCGCCGGTATATGAATGCTTATTGGTATTCGTAACCACACAGGAGTAATTAGGGTGAAAACATGAAGAAATATCCGTACAGGAACCCGACATTGCTAGCCTGTCATTGCTCCTGTTGCTGCTGCTTGAAATCTGCACGAAATTGCGCGTTGCCAAAGGTTCGGTTTGACTTACACGCCCCCTTGCATCTTCTGTCTTGATGCTGGTATACCATGAAGGCATAGAGACATGGGACAGATTCTATTCAGGTTCTACCAAGACTTCCATTCCAGGATCTCCACGGCGTCGTCCGGAAAAGGGGGTGTTAAGGTGAAGGGAATAAGAGGCGCTCCAGGGTAAGGAGGAATGTCAATCTCGCCAAAGGTAAGAGTTTTCTTTCACTTTCTTTTTCGAACCATCTCGATCACTTGGAGTTGACCAAAGCGTCGAAGGCTTTGGGAATTTCCTCCAAAAAAAAAAAAACCACAATCAAAATTGCAACCATCGCAAATAGGGGGATGATGGTGACGGAAAATACAACATGAAAATGTGCGTGTGTTCTGTGCGGTGATGAAAGGCCCTCTCTGGCACTCTGGCCCCTGGTTGTTTTGACAAGGCCCCCGGCCTGTGTTGGTATGGTCGCACGTTGCTGGTTGCTGGGCTGAGAGTACTCCGTATTCTTACACTAGGAAAGAAATGGACTTACAGAGCGAAGCTGCGGGTTTGCGATTGATGACGACACTATCTCATTCTCCAGTTTCCCGCAGCAGCAGCAAACTTGACGGCCGCCGAAGTATCCATCTCAAACCCCGTCCGTCCGTTTCTGCTGTTTCCGTCTGGGATAATAGCAGTAGCAACAGCATTTTAGCAGCAGCAGGAAGAAGCACACTCCCACAGCTCTCCACCAAGTCAAACTTCGCATTGCTTTGGTGCTTGCCTGCAAAGCTGTAGTTGCTTCAGTGGACACCGGTCCCGTGGTCGCGTCTGCCAGCGGCTTGCTGGCGGGAAAGACTTCAGACATGGATGGGACATGGGTACGGATACATGGGGGGTTTGACAGGGGCAATAGCATTGGCACGGGATCCGGGCACAGGAAGCGGGTGGGTTTATTAGCGGGTACGGAACGGGTAATGAATCAAAGGTTGACAAAGGCTGATGATAATGAGATATGGATATATGTCAAAGTGTGTGTGCGATGTGGGAGGAGAAGAAATCGCGATTGGGGTTTTCGAACCCTATCACCACAATGTTCTAATTGTAGGTGAATGAAGGGGGGAGAAGAGGAAAGGGTAAAGAGTCAAAATGCCATGAGTCGGAGTTCGTGTTATCGATGGTGGATCTCCAAGGGGGGCTTGGATGCCATGGATAGGTAGGGATGGGAATGAGACGGGACAAACGGATATGGAAACAGGGACACTTTGGAAGCAAAGTTTCATGGCTGAGTCTTTTGACAACGTACCTCAGGAATAAGGTACCGTGACAGAAGTGACAGACGAAGGAGAGACTCAAGAGAGCAAGAAAGATCCCCAACAGATCGGTAAGCTCTTTGGCTGCACGCTGTACCCGAGACGAAGGTTTCCATTTTACCGCGCCCAGTGTACCATAGAACGGGATCACCGGTTGGGATACACTATGCGCGGTGGGCTGGGTGGTGATATTGTGGTTGACACGGGCGCCGGCGACGCGGTTTGATGCGCATCTAGAAGCAGCCCTTGGACCTTGGCTCCTATGAGTGAGTGGAAGGAAGGGGTGGGTGGGAGGCGGCAATTTCTAGAGCTTAACGGCTTATGTGTATCGTTATGTGTGCGCGTTTCGTCGACATTGATGCCCTGACAGGGAGTTGGTGACTTTGCTGCTTGCTTGCGCTGCGGGTTTGTTGTGACTTGTAACTGGCAATCCATCGTCTGCTTGACCCTTGACTCCTGGCGTAACCTCTTGATAGTGCGGCGTTTGACACGATGATCGGGTACTCTCTTCGTTTTCACCGTCGTTTCTCTATCCTTGTATCAAGCTTATTATGGACCTGTCTAGAGAGGGCCTGGACGCGGAAGGTCAACAGTTGGTTACTGGAATGGACTCGGAATGGAGAAGCGCGTTGTGGGCTAGGCCGGGGATCAAGTGCGTGGGCTTGACTGCAATTCCGGAAGGCCACGGGTTGCTGTCCCCCTTCCCCTACCCTTGGCCCTGGGGCCACTGGGGCCTTTTTCCCAGGCCTTGGATCATCACACTTACCGGCCGACCCTATCGGCAGTCCGGGGAAGACAACGAGGTGGGAACTTCGTTTCAGTAGCTTCGGGTTCGGCATGGGGCATGGGTATGGGAACTTGGGAAGAAAGAAGACCAACTGACCGGCGCATGGGGGGACGTGTCTTCTGGGTCCGTCGTGGAACTTGTCGCGGACGCTTCAAATCATTCATGGATATGGATCGCATGGGACCTTGGACCTTGAAGGCTTGAACCTGTGTATCTCAAGGTATCCGTATCGATGGCCGGTTTGGCGGTCAAGCTCGGGGACAGGAACGGGATAACGAGATGGAGCCTGCCCAAGCTCCGTCGTTGTGGATTGCTTGGAGGTCAAGGATGGAGTTTAGAGCTGTCGATGGGTGGGTATTTTTTGATGGGTTGGCGGTTTGTGTGCGGTGTGTGTTGAAGCTGTATCTGTCGTTGGAATTTGGTATCTTTCTGCAAAGGTACTTGGATCAAAGAAAAATCAATCAGTTGGATCAAAAGGTCATAGAGATCAGGACCCTAGGGAAGATGAGTTCTCTACCCTTACCCAGCGCTGGACTTTTAGGTCAAACTGTCAAGGTGGCAGGTAGGATCACGAAAGAATATCAGATCAAAGGTTGATAAGGACCTCTTGAGGATAAGGTAAGCCCGGACAAGGCAAGTAGAAAGGTAGTAGGTAGTCTCTCCAACTCCTCATCAGCCTGTCATCAGCAAGAGCGATGACTCCCACCCAAAACCAGGGCAACTGGAATCAGTGGATAGTAGGGAAGAGGCGGAAGCACAGGTTTGGAGGCATGAGATGAGGTATGAGGCGTATGTAGTGTGCGACACACTGTGTACAAGATGCCTTTGAGCAACTCTCTTGCCCTCTGCAGACTGCAACAAGGTGAAGGTGGGAGAGTGGAGGAGCAAGTAGGAGAATAGCGATACACCCCCCTTTCCTCTTGCCGTTTCTCCCATCTCCTCTCGCAGCCGGGGAGTCCTTTTTTTGGTATCAGCGACCCAGCCACACATACCTCGTCCTCCAGACACACACTCGCAGTCTCGCACACACCATCCACACTCAGCTACCGTCAGTCACCACCTGGTGACCAACACTCGACACCCCGTGGCCATGACTTGCACCCCCCGGGGTGTGTTGTCCATCACCTGCGCCAACGCCAGCCAGCGGCGCCCGTCTCTTGCTCCTTTCCTGTTGTCGCCGTACTACGTAGTCGTTGTTGCGTTGTCGGGGCCTTGTCTTGCCTTGCCTTGGTTTTGCTCTTGGTGCTTGAGACTGGATGGTAGCAGGTGCCCATCCATCCATAATCCGGCCATCCATCGCCTTCCCTTGCCTTCGCCGCCGCGGGCCTTTGTCTTCCTGCAGGCGGTTGAGTTTGGTACGGGCGTCAGGTTGGCTGCGAGTTGCTGGAGAAAGCACCCGGGCTTGCGCCCATGTAAGGTGCCAAAGCCAAGCTGCACTGCATCATCTCTGTCATTCTCCTTCTCCTCTCCCTTTAGGCTCTCTGGGGTCATTGCCTTGTACCAAAGGAGACTGGCCCGCCACAGGGAAAGAGGAGGAGTCACCAGCGTGGGAGGTACGGAGTAGATACCGAGGAAGCAAGAGAGAGAGCGAGGTACATGAGTGTACCACACTTGACTGCGGATACCTTGGATCCTGGGTTGCATCCGTCCGGTACCGTGGGTACCTCCTACCCCCCGGTCGCCGTCTCTTGACATGCCCCAGGTCTTGCAATGTACCCCATGTACCTCTCTTCCTCCTACACACACCTTCCAGCCCAGCAAAGAGGAACAAGGTGAGAAAGAGAGAGAGGTAGGTACCGCGAATGTCTGGTGTGTGGTGTAAGGCAAGGCATGGTGTGTGTGTGTGTGTGTGTGTCGCTCTCAGTCATTCTACAGTCAGGTATGAGTCTGTCACTCCCATCCCATCCCATCCCATCTCCGTATCCGTCCACCACCACGGTCCCTTTTACTTTAGCCCTGGCCGTCGCACTCATCTCACCCTCCCTTTCCCTTTCCTCTCTTCTCTTCTTCAACGCAAATACAATATCACGAAGAACCACAACTGAATACTGACGAGATTCTCTTGTCACAGTCACGATAATCGCAACAGCCACAGCAACACCAGCCTGATCTGCCAACAAGTCTATTAGCCGACCCGTCGAACTAAGCCTACCTGCACAGTTCCACACTTGCATCGCATCCCTTCCGCTTCTAGCAGTACGTCAACAGGAAACCCTATCCCACCGCACAGCACTGCGCTGCGCTGCGTCACATTATCCCTCCCTCTCCCCTTGGTGACTCAACACCACTACCTCCCATCGTGGGATTCCTCCCATACACTCTACCAGTCTCATCATCATCACTCTACTTAGTACCTGTAGCTAACCATCGCTATCGCGTACAGACACGTCTAGAAGCTCAAGACACGTCTAAACGACATCATGGCGACCATGGCAGCTGCTGCTTGCGATATCCACCAGGCCTCCAACATGAGCCGAGACAACTTGACTGTTGTAGCGGCTCGGAGTGTTCCTGCGACGACTGTGACACGATCTCACCCCCTCCCTACTCCTCCCAACTCCATCTCTCCCGCCCTTCCGCCTCACGGCCTCAAGGCCCAGCTTCAGAAGGCCAGGCTCGAGCCTATCGACTCGGATCTGGATCTGCACGATGACCCAACTGGTCGCAGGCAAGCATCGCGGTCACCTTCCTACGACGCCACCGGTGCTATCAGCACCACCCTACTGGCCAAGCACCACCTCCCCGAGATCCTCCTCAACCACGGCCCTCTGGCTATCCGTCACATCATGGGCTACCTGACAACGTCTGTCCCGGGCTTCGCAGGAATTCCGCCGACAAAGGCGCGTCGCTTGGTCGTGGGAGCCTTGGAGTGTCGCGGAGGCGAAGGTGGCGGACCGGACGGCGATGTGGAATTTGAAAAGGTGGGCTGGGGCCGATGGGATGCTCGACGACGTGGTCAGGCCGCGCGCGGGTCTACACCCCCCACTGACTACCGATCCGGCATTCCCATCAACAAGACCGGTGGACGCGGCGCCGACAGGTCTCGCCTGAACGTCGCTTCGTCTTGTGCTGGCGATTCCATCGTCTTCTCTCACGACGATCGCGATGCCATGATGATGGAATGCGAAGCGGACAAGATGTCCTTGGATGGCTCGGCTTCCGCCTCGTGCTCCGAGGCTCCGGATGATGATGATATCGCTATGAATGACGACCCCGAGGACGCCACCGACGACGAGGACTGGGCTGCCGTTGGAGCTGCCGCTCTTCGCGCCGAGTCCTACAACACCGCCGGCGCAACTGCCCCGTCTGCGGGACGCAGCTTCCTCTCCACTGGTGTATATAACTCGGGAGGCATGCGGACCGTCTCTACTGGCATGGCGCGCTCGCTTCAGCCTATGCCCTTCGACTTCTCGGCGCTCCAGGGCCCGTCTGACGCGCAGGAGCGTGAGGCGGTTGAGGCTCTGTTGCGTCTAGGTTCTGTATAATACCATTTTTTTGCATAGCACGGCGTTGGGGGATGAAAGGACTCCGCTGTGCGATCGGTCTGTTTGACTGATGAGAAAGCATGTCTCCTTTTTTCCTTGGATTCGGAATGGTTAGCTGGGTTGGTTGAACCAAGGATACCGTGTCATGACTTCATTGGCCGAGCCGGCGCGCTCTGGATCATGCACCACCATTTTCTGGCATTCGTCATGGCACGGCGGTTCTACACTACATGGGTTCGGCGTTCCTGGCATTGGAACGGCAAATTACGCCCTCGCGCGAAGGGCAATCATTGTGGCCTTGGGCACCACTTTGCATTACGATCATGGCTCTATTGGAGGATACCCCGACACGTTTGGTCAACAACACGTTTTGACACACTACTACTTGGGCCGGCTGGCTATCTTGGGGACTGTCGTCTCATCGCCCCGCCTCTGCCTGTGTGGTCTCATCGTGGTACCTGGTTCGAAGATGTTGAGCCCTCACAATCATCTTTGTTCGGCTTCTACAAGCACCGGTCTATTTGAGACCAAGGCAACGCGGTGGCGTCGACGACAGGTTGGAATGGGCTGGCCTGACAACACCACATCCCCAAACACACACTTCAATTCTCTCCCATTCATGCGTATACCACATTTTGCACATACCCCCCCTTTTTTGTTTTTGTTCACACATCTGCATCTCCCCACTTCAACACGCCGTGGAGGATTACATCATCTAGCGCTGGGCGAGCTTCACCTCGTCAGCCATCACACTACGCGCCCCTATTTGCGCACTTCACACCAACACCTGTTTTAATCAGTTTTGGGGTTGACGAAGACGACGAAAAGATTATGGATATTCGTGTCACATGAACACTGAATACACACGACACATGATTTTGTGTTTGCGAACTGGAAGAGTCAGCATGAGCTTTGCTGTTTGGCAACTCCCGCGGAGGACAGGACGCGCAGTTAGAAATGAGGAACCTTGGTGATGCTTGGCTCGCTGATATTGCTTACCTATTTGATCGGCTTCAGAGCACTATGTCTTTTGGGACAGGAGAAAGAGCAGAGGAATTGAAACCAAAACCCAAGGGAAAAAAGGACAAAAGAGAAATTACCTCCCTCTACTTTTTTTTTTCTTTTTTTTTTTGGCGAACGGCGGGATCTGGGTTTTTCGGGATTGGGCGGCTAGGTCTAGCCCTCAAAGAATGGAACTCTTGATTGTTTCGTCCCATCCTTGTGGTGTATACTGACGTGTGATCACTTCGTTCTTTGTGATTTGTGTATGCTGAGGCCTCCTCACAGTGAAATAGCACCTTTGTCGAGTTGGGGTCTCTACACCACAATGCATAGAGACACTGGATCCTGCGGCTCCCGAGCTGACATACCCCCAAAGCCTAGTCAATTGCCTGGTCAATAGACAAAGACTCTAAACTCTCTAATGAGGATAGAATTACTCTTGGGTTGATTATGGCTGTACGTTGCACGGAAGTTTCTTAAGATGTGCGTCAAAAACCAACGACAACTGTTGATCAAGGGGCCATGACATGATTTCGTGACGTTGAGGATGGTCACCCCGCCGAGTCTATGCGCAGGGTGAAAGATGGCTGTGAAAAAAAGGAAGGAAAGTGTGGACGATACCATGAAGGTTTGGGTGATGTGGGAGAATCTCTCTTCTGTTCGTCATACCAAGAAGAGTGAGTACATTAGTTGTCATGAGAAACGTTCCTCCTGAGAAGTGTGGAATCGTCCTTCATTAGACTTGACGGATTGGCCAAGATAAGGAAAGTGTTGCTTTGTTAGAGTCAAGGCAAGGTTAGAGGTGGGAAGCATACGCCTCTGCGTATCTGACAAGCCCCTTTTGTGGGGTTTTCGTTTTCTTTTCAACTTGATCACTCTTACAGAATCAAAACATTCACACGATGAAGTACTTGTACAAAGACTTTGGTATTTACATTGCAATTTATCTATAGTGACCGGGCTTTCAAGCCACCGAATATGCTAGACGAGAAACTCATTGGGCACGTACAGCGGCATAGAATCCTCCCACAAACTATCCGTAAGCATCCTCTTATTCGACCCATCCGCGTCCATGACGAGAATCTGCCCGTACGGCTGGAACGTCTGATCATAGATGGCCGCCTCGTCCCGGAACCCGTACATCCCACTAGAATACAGGATCCGCCCATCGGCCGACCATACGGCGTGCGCGTCGTTGGCGCCGCTGGACGTCAGCGTCTGCAGATCCGTGCCGTCGGGCCGGATCGTACAGACATCAAAGTTGGTTGCCGACGTCTTGCGCGTGAAGACGATGCGCTCGCCGTCGGGCGACCAAAATGGCAGATTGTCCGTCGCGTTGGTCAGGCTGCGCACCGTCTTGGTCTCGAGGTCGATGACGCGGAGGCCGTAGCGGAGACCCCACTCGCGGAAGACGAGGCTGCGGCCGTCCGGGCTGTAGGAGGGGAAACCGGAGTGGACCGTCCCGTCCGTCAGGGCCTCGTAGAAGCTGCCGTTGGAGGTTGTGCGGTAGACGCGGGCTTTGCCCGTCGCGCGGGACTGGAACCAGGAGCCGAGGCCAAAGGCGATCCAGCTGCCGTCGCTGGACCAGGCTGGTTGGAAGGCGCCCGCGAGGCCCTTTGCGACGAGGGCGGCGTCGATTTCGCCGGTTTTGGAGGAGTCGAAGACGAGCTTGAGGTCGGTGCCGTCTGGGTTCATGGAGACGATGGAGGAGTTGCCGAGCTGCTTTTGGGTGATGACGAGGCGGCCCTGGAGGGAGAGCTGGGGGAAGACGTCGGTGGAGCGGTATTCCCAGTCCGTGTCCCAGCTGTAGAGGGGCTTCTCCATGGCGCGGGCGGTGAAGCCTACTTTTTCGTAGATGACGAAGCGCCCGTCGGGGGACCAGGCCGGGGAGCGGATGGCGGCTTTGACGGGGGCGTGGGCGCCCGAGGTGTAGTTGTATCCTTCGTTGTCGCCGCCCTTGATCAGGTAGGCGATGTTGCTGCTGCTGCTGGATCCGTCCGAGGTGCTGTCGTCAGCCAGCCACTGCGGGAACATCTTGACGCTGGCGCCAGAGGTGTGCTCGATGCGATCTTCTCCGGTCTCGAAATCGACAGAGACGATCTGGGAGATGGCGGCGGCGAGGGACTCGGGCCGGTGTGCGTCCCACGTCTGCTCGGTCGTGATCTCGTAGTAGAGGATCCGCTTTCCGTCGGGGCTCCATTTGGGCGATCCGAGACAGTATCCCGTCTTGGTAGCAATCTGGCGGAACCCGGAGCCGTCCGGGCGAACGACGTAGACGGAGAGCTCCTGGGTGTGTTCCCATCCCGTGCCGTTGCCGTGCCCGCGCCAGGCCGTGTTGCGGTCGGAGGCGAAGGCGATCCACTCGCCGTCTGGAGACCAGCTTGGTCTGAAGTGGCCGTCGGGTAGTAAGGGGTCGCCGGCGATGGCGGGGGTGTTTGTGAGGTTGCGGCGGGCGCCGGTGGCGATGTCAAGTACCCAGATGTTGGCGCGGTAGCCGTTCTCGGTGGAGACGTAGGCGAGTTTAGTTCCGTCTGGGGAGAGGGCACCCGCGTCTTCGACCGAGGGCGTGGCGATGAGCTCTTCCAGGTTGGAGCATGAGGCAGAGGTGGTGTTGTTTCCGGTGCCGGCAGACGAGAAGCTGCAGCGGTAGAGGTCCGAGTTGCCGTCGCCGTTGCGCTCGGTGGTGAAGGTCACGAATTTGCCGTCCGGGGAGAAAGCGGCGTGGTACTCGAAGCTCGAGGCGTTGCCGAGGAGCTTCTGCTCGTTTGTGCCGTCCGCGTTGGCGATATAGAGCTCTGACGTGGAGGGTCCGATGCGGTTCATGAGCAGGACGCCCTTTTTGCCGTCTGCGGCGGGGAGGCCGCGGGCCGAGTGGGCCTGCGGGAGGGAGGCGAGGTTAAAGTCGGCGCGGAGCTGGTGGACGTGGCGAGCCGAGATCGACGACGTGCCCAGGCAGAGGCAGACGAGGGAGGAAAGGAGTGACGACCGCATCTTGAGGGCTTGGGGGTGGCGAGGCACACCGCTTTGGAAACGAGTGAGAGTGAGGTGGTGGTGGGAGAGAGACAGAGAGAGAGAAGGGTCCCGAGGGCATCTACATCGTTTCGTCTGGTATTTGTCTTTCTTGAAGATGGCTCGACTTTGCCATCGCCGCCGCCCCTCGCATATGGGTGAAGTCCGAGACCCAGGAAGGGGAGGAGCTTTCACAGCAATAAACCAGGGTCCTGGACATCGGCACTGCGAGCCCAGAGCATTCTCTCTAAGTCTGAGTCTTCTCAGGGAGAATTCTATTGGCTTTCATGACGATTGCGACGCTTCCTTCCCGCCCAATTGCCGCTTTCCGCCATGAGCAGCGGTTCAAAGTCTTGGCGGAGTGGAACATCGCGGGTGTAAAAGAGCTTGTTTTGGAGAAGTTGAAAAGTTCCTCCCCGTTGGGGGTGACATCCCGGGTTCCTGAGCGGGTTGCCATTCGATCGGACCAGCCCCACCAAAGGCTACTCTCGGATAGCTCCCGTAACTTAACTCTCTGATGCAGGACTGATCGGACCTATCTTATGGAGTCAATTGCCATTAAACACCGCATGAGGAAGGTTCTTCTTTTCGAGAGGTATCCAATGATGATGAAGAATTTTCCAACTTCTTCCATGTGAGTCTCCCTGAGCCTCCGATGAAGAAAAAGATTCTGTAAACGTGGGTGCGTGGCTGCGGGGGAGATGCGAACGTTTGTTGACTGGGGTGGACTATCCCGTTCCCCTCCTCCTCCCATAGGCTATCCCAGCCTATCGAGATTAGTTGCATGACGTTAAAATTTTGTTAGGTTGTCTTATCAATCAATCGGTTCTTCAAGGGGAGGCTCAATTTCCCTCGGAGTCGTCGTGCATGACTTCGGCAGATATCGGTCAGAAATCGGCCACTGATATGTTGTGTAAGAGTACCTAGAGGCCTCCTTGTGCCCCATTCTAGCGGGTGAAAGCCGAGGCCGTTCGGTTTTCGTTACGTACGTGGACTTTTCGCGTGGCTGTAGCCACAACTCTCAGATGATAAGTAAGTCTATTGATGTTTGGCTCTGCTGAGTGGATAGCAACGCAGATCAAATGTGCGAGGACGGCAAAATGTGTCCAGAGAAAGTGTAGTCGACGCAGGACAACACCGTGTTAAATAGCTATTCATCCACCTTAGCTCTGAACCAGCCCTCCCGTGTTCTCGTATCCCATTAACTGCTACATAGCGTCAGTATATCCATCTCCAGTACATCCATCGCCAGTCTTTCTCCAATTTTTCTCTATTTCGAGATTGTTCATAGGCGGATATAAGGAAAACAGAGCAAAATTAGAGAAAGACTAGAGGCAGATATAGTGACGCTATCCAGCAGTTTATGGGATAGGGAACTCTCTTTGTGAAGGGCAGGGTTTCTCGGGAAGGAGAAGCATACCCCTATTATCTGTTCGCAAATCTGAACGCTGTGACTTTTCTCGGTACAGACTTCTGCAAGAGTTCAGATCTGCGAGCACATATCACATATCGCGAAAGGCGATGGTGACGGCGTGCTTGCGCCACCTTAGCATCCTCCCGCTGACCTGCACAACATCTGCAATTATGCAGTCTGAGCTGCCAATGGGCTCTCGTCAGCAGACGAATCAGGCAAGTGGCGCTCCGATTCGGGAGACTGCATCCCTGTAGCATTCGGCTCCGGTACCCTGGTCTCCGACTCCATTACCGGCGTTGCTAAGCACTAAGTAATACTGCTTTTTTTGTGTACCGGGTGCTGGTTCTTTTAGGAACGAGCACGAATTTTAAGTTGATGAGCATATCAGATTCACAAAATAAATAGGAAGAGAAAAGCTATAGCTGAGGGCGCGGAAATAATGACAGCATCTTAGGTTATGCGGGTTTGTTGCGCTTTATGAAGCTTTCTCATTCAAGGATTTGTTTGTCGCTAATAGTTGCCTGTAAATCCATTTGGCTGCTGCTAACTTTTCACACACTACGACACGATATAGACCAACTTGGTTCCGCTGACCTTGCCCTGTCTAACAAGATCAAGACCCTTAAGAACGCCCTCCAGGCCACTTCCACCCTCATTCACAGTCGGCTTATGAGCCACAACCTTTCCCTCTGCCAATAGCCGCTCAGTATCAGCCCAGAACTTGCTCCCAAACTCCAAGTCCGCCGGGATCGCCGGCAACGCCTGCGGGCCAAACTGGCACGGCTCGCCGATGGCAGTGTACGCCAGTGTCATCTTGGTCGTCACCTTGCCGTTGATGGCCGAGACGAGCTCCGCCGGCACGGGCCGCAGGGTGGAGTAGATGCCGCCGTCCTCCGCAATCGCCTTGACGCTGATATCCGCAGATGATTCCGAGGAAATGCAGTCCAGCACGTGCTTCAGCTGGCCGCCCGCGCTCTTCTTGATATCCTCCACGACGGTAGCGGACTTGTAATCCAAAATCACGTCGGCGCCCAGCTTCTTCAGATAGTCAAAGTTGTGAGGCGAGGCCGTCGTGATGACGTGCAGGCCAGAGAGCTTCGCGTACTGGATCGCCAGCGCTCCGGTCGCCGTGCTGCCGCCGTAGATGAGAACGGGCAACGTCTCCGTGCTAGGCTTGTCAAAGTACGGCAGGCCGAGGCTTTGGTACAGGCCCTGGCCCACGGTCGTCACGCTGACGCCGAGGGTGGCGGCCTCCTCAAAAGTGACGTTATCCGGGATGCGGAGCTGCAGGTCACCCTTGACGGTGATGTATTCCGCAAAGGTGCCGTCCTCGTGATGCACGGCGTTGGACCCGTGGGCGACGCCGGCGATGCGGTCGCCCTTCTTGAAGGGCTTTGTGACTTGGGAGCCGACTTCCTCGACGACGCCGGCGTAGTCACAGCCCACGCGAGCGCCTGTTACTGCGAAGAGGTCGATGTGGAGGGCGTCAGTTGGGTTCAGGGCGACGGCCTTGACCTTGACGATGAGGTAGTCATCGCGGAGCTTGGGGGCGGAGGCTTCGACGACCTGGGCCTTGCCTGCACCCTGGATGACAATGGCGTGATTGGAAGACATGTTTGTATAAAATGATGGTTCTTGGTAGTTTATGGTAAGATTGATCGCAATTTGATAATGATAGAGAGTACTATCAGAGTCTTGAAGCGAATTCGGTTTCCTCGATTGTCATTTATGCTCAGCTTCCCGGATGCTTTCTCTCATGCTGAAAGTTGAAACCCGAGAACGAACATTATTAAGCACGATCCGTTCGCCCCCAATGCGAGGGCTACGAATCCATAGTGGTCTGTCCGTCCTGCCGCCATTGCGGAGTTGCGGAGAGGAGACGGACGGTCAATCAACGAGTTGCGGGTGGGACTCGAGCCCCACATTCGACGGGCTACGGCTGCATTCAAATCGGTGCCGGAGAGTCTCCACTTTCTCGGGGGCGATTATTAAACAGGCCCGGGAAGATTATGGTTTACTCACCATACGCAATCGGTGGGCAGAGGGATAAAAACTGGGACCAAAGCTTATACCAGTAGAGTCGACCTTTGTCATCCCGAGGCCCTGCCCGGCCCCTCCTTCCGGAACACGACATGGAGGGGAGGTGGCGCGCCCCAAGATGGCGGGACAAGGAGCATCTGAAGGCTCCGAAGGCGCACGTTCTTGCTGTAATCTTTAAAAAGAGTGTTGGTCTATGAGCTTACCAATTATCGTCAAATTTGATGCACACAGCTTGAGATATGTCATCATGGCAAAAGTTTGACTGACCTTTTTTGCCATTTTGGACAATGGCTTGAATGGCTTGATGAAAGGCAGGATTTGGGTGCCATTGCATTCCAAATTGCAGCTATCGCATCGTTACTTAAGTAGTACAGGATTTCCACGTCAAGATTACGTGGTTAGACAACTTATTCAACTCGTCCAGCTTCTTCAGTCTCCCAAGTATCTCACCATTCAAACATCGTCCATCCTCACCTTGTCGTCATGTCGTCACCTAACAAGCGAACAATCCTCATCACAGGGTAAGCTGAACCGCCGTGAAGATACCATCTCTTGTCTTTCTCTGTTTCTTGGCCTTGCATTTCTCCAAATTCTGACGTGTCTTTAGATGCTCTCAGGGGGGTGTCGGTAATACACTGGCGCTCGCATTCGCAGCCCAGGGCCTGCGCGTATTTGCAACTGCTCGCTCCCTCAAGTCGGTGGCGAACCTCACAGAAAAGGGCATCGAGACGCTCACACTCGACGTGACGAGCTCGGAGAGCATCGCTACGGTTAAGGAGGAGATTTCAAGACGTACAGGCGGTAGCCTTGACATTCTGTACAACAACGCGGGTGCTCGTAAGTCCTCCCCCCTCCGTTCCGGACATCCTGACTATACCCCGTCAGAACAAGACAACTGACAAGCTTCTTCCCACGTCAGTCTACGAAGCACCAGCAGTAGAAGCAGACTCCTACCGCACCCGCCAAATGTTCGACGCCAACGTCTTCGGCCTCTTCGACATGGTAACAGCCTTCACCCCGCTCCTCCTCGCCGCCGTCTCCACCTCTTCTTCCTCCTCTCACCAACCGACAATCGTCAACGTCGCCTCCGTCCTCGCCCGCCTCCCAGGCCCCTTCACATCAGGCTACAACGCCACAAAGGCCGCCGTAGCAGCCTACTCCGACACCCTCCGCCTCGAAGTCGCGCCCCTCGGCCTCCGCGTTCTGACGGTCTACATGGGCGAGGTCGCCACGTCCATCATCCAGGCCAACAACATCGCCTTTGACCGGGACAGCCTGTACGTCGACGCCGAGGACAAAGTGCGCGAGCGCAGCGCCACGCACGAGAAGACGACGATGAAGCCCGATGAGTTTGCGCGGCAGGTCGTGCCGCTTGTGCTGAAGAACGGAGGGAGCCCGTATGTGTGGAAGGGCACGAATGCGTGGCTTGTGTGGTTTTTGAATGCGTTTGGGCCGAGGACGGTGTTTGATGGGACTATGAATGGGACGTCTGGGTTGGGTGATGCGGTGATTAAGAAGAAGATTTTCGAGAGGGGGCAGGAGAAGGTCAAGAAGGCCTAGGTTCTGGTTTTCCAGAGTTGGCAAGAGTCAATGACTGGGCGGGGTGATGTTGGTGATCTAGAGCGGCATTCTGATTTCCTGTACCGCGTTTTTTTGTTTTTGATTTTGCTTGTTCACCTTTTCCTGAGATGAGCCGCAACAGGCATTAGAGTAAACCTACCTATCAGCGCTTAATCCAATCTTCCGTTTCTCGAATATCTCGCTCCAAGAACATCACGAGACTTCCTCAACGTTCCCCGGGGTTCCACCTCTTCAGCTCGATGCACGAGATCTCTCACACCTGCTTTTCTTCTCGCAGACCAGGCGTGAGTGCCCTGTATTGCCTTTGATATACTCTGGAAATCTAGAAGCACACTGATACACGGTGGATCCTGTTGGGAAGAGGTATTTCAAACCCGGATGCTGGTGTCATCCCGGCGCCGAGTAGCCGTCCCCGCCAGGCCTGTCATCATCCGCGGGTCTCGGCCTTTTCGGCCCCGGACTTTCGAACTTCACTCAGTTCTGTCGTAAACTTAGTAAGTGATATCCATTCATCGCCCCGCACACCCGCACGACGCATCCGCATATGCCGTCAAGAGTACGCCGTACGGGTTACTCCAATCCTGGGTGACGAAGTACGAATTTCCTAATGCAGACAGTATGAACTTAACTCCAGTCAAATAGGCGAAGAAAGCTAGAATACAGCTCCATTAAAAAGATTCAGAGCTTAGAGGTAAAAGTTTCCAGCATTGATGAGAAAAAGGAGTTAACGGGGATAAGGAATAGTTAGACGTCAGATCTCGGGAAAGTTGGCAAACAAAGTACGTATGAGGTGGGCGCCCGGCGCTACTCGGCGCCTCGGATCTGTTGGTCAGTAGCGCCGGATCACAAATCATGGAGTTTCTGACTAAATTCCACTCTGTAGCCTCCTCGAAACTCCAAACCACCAACACTATCATCATGAAAACAAAAGGTGTATATAATGCTGTGCAATCGGCCCTCTCCAAGATGTAGTACACAATGGAGCAGAAAGATATACAAGACAGTCCTGACATCGCAACATCAAAGTTACTCACCATCTCACGACATCTAAATCCAGCAACCATGTCTTTCCCAAAGACGTACAAGGCGTGGCAGGTCAAGGAGGCGGGCGCTCCTCTGCAACTTCAGACGGTGGAAGCCAAGGCGCCGGGTAAAAGCGAGGTCCTCGTCAAGGTGCTCGCCTGCGGCGTCTGCCACTCAGACGTCGGCATGCAGAAGGGCGAGTTTGGCCCCGTTCACCCCCGTATCCCGGGCCACGAGATTGTCGGCGACATCGTTGCTGTCGGCGAGGACGTGACGAGATTCACTGGTGGCGAGCGTGTAGGAGGAGCCTGGCACGGAGGTGAGTTTGCGTCTTTGGAACCCCCCCCTTTCGGATTGCCAATGAGCAGGAAGATGGGGATTCTAAGATCACTTCGGACCGCAATGAGCTGACGTTCATACAAGGCCACGACGCAACCTGCGCCAGATGCCAGCTGGGCCAATTCCAATCGTGCCAAAACGGCGCAATCAACGGCGTCACCCGAGACGGAGGCTACGCAGAATACGTCACCCTCCGGCACGAAGCCGTCGTCCGCGTCCCCGCAGACCTCGACCCCGCCGAGACGGCACCCCTCCTCTGCGCTGGCGTCACCGTCTTCAACGGCATCCGCAAAATGGAGATCCCCAAGGGAAGCCTCGTCGCCGTCCAAGGCCTCGGCGGCCTAGGTCACCTCGCCGTGCAGTACGCCAACAAGATGGGCTACCGCGTCGCGGCCATCAGTTCCGGCCCCGCCAAGGCGAAGTTCGCATCTGAGCTGGGCGCAGAGTACTTCATCGACAGCAGCGTCGAGGACCCCGTGGCGAAGCTCAAGGCCATGGGCGGCGCTGCGCTTGTGGTCGCGACGGCGCCGAGTGCGAAGGCTATCAGCCCCCTTACGGGAGCGCTGCAGGTGCGCGGCAAGTTGTTGGTCCTCGCGCCGGTCGGGAATATCGAAATCAGCTCGTTCCATTTGATCGGGCTCGGGTGCTCGGTTCACGGATGGCCTAGCGGGCACGCGCAGGATTCGGAGGATGCGATCGAGTTCTCGAAGAAGCAGGGCGTCAAGTGCCTGATTGAGAAGTTCCCGTTGAGCGAGGCGCCTGACGCAGTGGAGCATATGATGTCGAATAAGGTGCGCTTTAGGGGCGTGCTGGTCATGGAGTAAAGATTTGTAGATCGTATCTCTAAGGCGCGGACGTTGTAAGGGGTTGGGGGTTAGCGATACTACAGAATCAAGAGTTATTGTTCGAGAATGGCTTGTCTTTGTGATGGAGCACGTTTCGTTGCCATACACGATGAAGAGACCAGAGAACAGGAGATGAAGAACTTCTCGTAGGCCATTTCGCAATTGTTGGGCAATTGGGCCCGGCGTAGACAAGAACTGTACTGAAAGGTGACTCGCATTCAGCATCTGCAAACGTATTCGAGGCGTCTCGCGATACGATCGGCGATGAGTCGAGCTCAGCGCGGCTTCTTCAAGCTTCTCAGTAGTCAAGTATAGCAGCGGGTTGGGTGTGCCTACAGACCCAAAGAATCCTGTTGATTATCTGCTTTGCATTCAATGTCTATTAAACGCCGAGGACTAGCTGACATGATGTGCAGCGGAAAGCACCATCGCCTGTTTGTGGTCAGGGGGCGTCTATGAGGAGACCGGCCTCCCTCCAGAGAGCGGAGGCAGGGAGAATTGGTTCGAAGTAAGGGAACATCGACTACATCAAAGAAGATTGGCAGACAAATACGTAGCGGAGATGAAGATGACTTAACAACCTCGAAGTGGGCTGCCTACTGTAGCTGGCAAGAATGGCCATGGCGACACTAGCTAGAGGTATGTTGAGCGCAAACGAGACCGGCGAGTAGATCTCATCGCCTGCGAAGCCCGCCAGACTACGAGAGCCGAGGCGATGTACGCTCCAGCATTCCATCGATTCTCTCTGAACCAGAAACTGGACTCTCCCTCCTTCCTGACGCGTCCAGCCCGTACAAGCGGGCAGATGCCAATTGATGGCCAGATGAGTCGTTCAGTGGCCCACCCAACAATGGAGGGCGATCACTAGATTTCTTCTCCTGGAGACGTAACACACACTGGACACTGCTTGCGTCGCGGAAGAGAGACAGGAGGCCTCATCGAGGAGCAGCCGTGACCTACTGACTGCATCATGCTGCAGTCCGAGGGGTCTGCACACCGGTAAGAGTGACAGTGGCCTGCATTATGCTGCCATGCCCCAGATCAATAACCCGCCGCCGGATCTCTTTACTTCGACTTTGCTGAATGAGGGAAATTTGGTCCGCGGACAGAAGCGGAGTCTCCATCAGTCGGTGACTTTGGTCATATTGGTCAAGCATCGACGCAAGTCCGGATTCTTGGCGTCTCATGGGGTGTGAGCGGCCGGGTCATTTCGGAGGTTCAACTAGATCAATTTGATAAATGAACGGCGAGAAACAGAAATAGCTGGAAACAGCAATGGAAACAAACAAAACGACGATGGGGAGAAAGGGGTCGGGGGTTGCAGCTATTTTCTGCAAGTGGGGATTTCCTCTGGCCACTGGCAAGATGCCCAGTACGACAGTAACAAGCTTCTTGAGCCAGAACTACAGCAATGGAGTAGTCCATGAGAAAACGTCGTGTGCCAAGACTAACCTCTCGTCGGAAATTCTCACCGTCGCCATCGAATAGCGGCAGCTGTTGTCGGACCTAGGTCGCATCTGCTCACCAAGACTCCGCTTCTGATTGATCAAGGGCATTTGGCCCGGGCCTAGATAGCTGTTTGTCCACAGCATCGGCGAGCGACTGTCCGTACGTCGCTTGATAGAACGCTGGTGAGGATCCTTGGCAAACAGGAGGCAAATGGTCGCAATAGAGATCGTCGTTTGGTAGGTAAACGCCAAGAAAAGACAGGTCGCTGCTCTTCCAATTGATAGTAAGGGTAATCGCCAGTTGACAGCACGGCCCACTCGTCGACGTTCATCTCTTGTCCACCCGGGTACCGAAGACCGGCAGCCGTTTCAGTCCCCCGAAACCCAAGGCTTACTCTTGATCATCGTCACAATTGCCCGGCCAAGATGGAGCCAAGGCCAAAATCAAGGCGTTGCCGTCTTGGAATTGAGAGGCTCCGAATACTCTAAAATATCGCCCAAGTTTCTCGACTGTTTCCAGGGGGTTGCGATGTGATCCCGCGGCCTTTGGGTAACGGAGGTTGCTACGTGACTGAAGCCTTCTCCTTCTGCGCACTCTCTCCTGCATTGCACATCAGCATCACCTGTGGCAGATGGAAGGGAATATGAAATGAGAAGATGGCTGTGGGCCTTGGCCACTCCACCTGTAAGCCAGTTGGCGCTGAGACTTGATGTAATCCAAGGCCACACAGAAAGCGCTCAAGCTAAAGCCAAGACGCCGAGAGGTTCCGAAGAATTGTTGCACAACGCGGTACCATGCCGGCGCGCTTTGCGGACTGGTATGTCGCCTTTGGGCAGCGGGCCTATGGTCGGAGGCCAAGAAGGTCCTTCAAAGTCTGGAGCTCGTAAGAGGAGGCCAAGAGTGCATGGGCTCGATGAGAATGGAGCAAAGCCCACTCTGCAACAAGCCCTACTGGCATCTTGGCTTGATCCCGCCGAGCCAGGACAGCGGTGATCCCCCTCTTGAACTGACTGCACCACCTGCAGAGTCCTTCCTAATCTCGGCCTGGCGTCCGAACTCAAGCACCCCATTCGACCCTCCGCATCTGGGGCTTTTCGGTGGACCACCCGTCTCTAAACTGCCGGGGTTGTCGCGATCATCTGGGGAGGCGAACATGATGGTCTGATTAAGCCCGGAATAACTGCGACCAAACGTGGAGAGTTCCAGTGTGGACGATGGCACAAAACTCGGAAGAGTCATTGTAGTGTGCGGCTACATCCAGGTGTGCGGGCAGTCGTGTTGCTAAAGGTGCACGCGGTCGTTTTCTCGCTCGGGTGTCGTGCATCCAAGATTTCGCCGGAAAGCTTGGTAGATTTCCGTGGCATTGGCAGGCTCATCGGGCTCGTGGCACATCGGCGAGCCTTCTGGCGGCACAGCCAATGGATGATGACCATGCAGGACGGCACAAAGTGTGCGGGTATTCCTCCTAGAACCTTAATTCTTCAAGCCATGTCAGTGAGAGTGTGGGACGAGCGCTGACCGATTCGAGTAGAGGGAGTGAAAGTCAATCTGGTGATGGACGAGGGTGTGGTAAGACTCAAGCGACTTCGAGACGGACCAAAGGAACTCACAAACTCACAAATCGCGCAAATTAAATGCATGTGGCGGCCAAACAATGTGAGAGGAGCAATGCCAAGACTTGTTGAAGGCCTCGTTTTGATTGCTTCTCCTCTGATTGAGTGTAAAGCGCTGGCGATGTGGTTCCCCCCCTGGACCGGCGAGAGTTGAAGCCAGGGCGAAACTACCCATCCTCGCAGGTCTTGGCATTGCTTGCACAGCCTCATTGAACGGCGAAGCGGCGGGCGCAAGGTGGACAGGATGGGGGATACAGGCTGAAGGTGCTTGGTGTCTGCAGCCAAGAATGCCCAGCTTTCGTCTGGCTGGGCTTTGAAGCGGCAAATTCTCAGGTTTGGCTGATTCTCGAGCCCTTGGGAATGGTCTGCAGCGAACACACTGTGCCAGTGCGGTATCCCGTGGACAGGCGGGGTCGGCCATGATGCGATGGCATGGTTTGTGAGACGGCTCGTCGTACTTGGGCTTATGTCTTCTTCTGTCGAGCAAGCTTGGCGCCGTGGCCAAGAGGAAAGAGGCCAAGTCGACTATCAACGACACATTGCTCATCCAAGGAGAATAGGGGAGCAGTCTGACACCAATTGGCGTACCGCCATCATGGGTCGAACTGCCAAGAGTTGAGCGACCCGCTCACCTGAATACCTGTGAATATGGCACTATGGACGGGCGTCGGCGTCGGGCACGTTGGCACGTTGGGTCCATGTTTTAAGGTAATCGACGGGGTGACAATTGGCTAGATCGATCAAGTCAAGATGGCTGTGTCGGTGCGTTTGCGACGTATTACACAAAGTGCCGTGGTGGAAACCGACAACGAGAAGGCAAATTGGGGTAGTCGAAAGGCAAAATAACGTATCCATAGGGGATTGAGTGGTCGTTGAGTGTGAGGGGAGAAAGTAAAGTGCCACCTACGAAGGAATCTGTGGATGGCCGGTCAGGGACGGGATGATCTTGGGAAGGGGGTCGAGAGGTACCTGCCATTGCCAGAAATGAGTCTTGGCGGATCGAGGCTGGCGAGTTGTAACTTCCGTTGGTGTCGACTCGAGGCATGCGAAGGGTACGTGTCCCTCGGACCCCGACAGCTGCGTCGTTTTGGCACAGGGCATCTCACCCTCCTCACCACGCCGCACCATTCGCCCACCCTTTTTTTGATTTCGCAGATACACATCCCTCTTTCTCCATCTATCCTTCTTTCGAGCTCCCAGTTCATCGAAGATGGTCCATCATCCACGTATTTAAAGTCTTGGCGAACCCCACCGCATCTCCCGTACCGAATGCGATTATCAACGGCCGGCACATCGGCTTCCCTGCGTGGGCCATAACAGGCGGTATTGCGCAACACTTTCTGGACGAGCCGGTTTGAACGGCTTCTGGCTGACCATAGGGGAGCGGCGACTGTATCGTGGACATGTCGAGAAGAGGGGGCGACGGCCAGCGTCAACAGGCGAGGGCATTTGGATTGCGCGTAGCCCTTGGCGCTAAGGACTTGGCAGTCTTGGCTGCGGCGGAGAGGCCAAGAAGAGAGGAGCGGAAAGCTTCTTTTGGCTCTTGGGCATTGCCCCAAAACGTTGTCAGAGTCTCCAGCGTCCCCCCCGTCACCCGAGAGTCACCTGCCCCCCCCGAGTGTGCCGTCCCCCAGCTTATCGAGGATCGGGCGCCACTTGTGTGTCCGGCTTGTCGAGTTTGTTCCATACTCAAGTTGAAAAAAGTGGAGGGGTGAATCGCTCGGTTAAGCACATGGGTGATTTGTTGCGGCTTTGCCATGCTCTTCGCAGCGTGGCAGCTCTTCGGTGAATCGGTGCGGCCTGCGGAAATGACGAGCTGGCTGCATCCCGTCTTGCCGTGTGCGGCGCGTTATTCTTGGGCCGGCTCCATGGGATAATTATCAACATCTACGGGGTATGCGCTTATCGGAGCGTCCGAGGCCGCCGTCGCATCCTCGTCCCCACCCCGTGTCGTGTGTCTCTTTTCGCTTTCTGCTTCTTTTGGTACGAAGGCACGGAGACTTGGTCTCTTGGCTCTTGGTAGTCTGGGACTCGAGGCATGGAGGTCTTGGTAAAAGAAAAAGAAGGGTGGAAGGCTTGTCGTTCTCGTACCCCTTTCCCTGTCAATCGGGCGCCAGGCATCTCCCATGTCCTGTCAATCGTCCTATCTCTTTGGTCGCCTGAAAGTGTACTCCCAGTGCGACGGGTGCTTTGCCCGTGACATCAGGTACGGGAGTACTTGGCGTCTTGTTTCTCAGGACAGGTCAGTTTTGGAGTCTTGTCCCGTCCGGTCACCCCAAGACCCCAAGGACCCCAAGCAATCCAAGGCCCAAAAATACTCGGCTCACCTGCTTGGCTGGAAACAGCGCTCCCTCATCTGAGACGGTCGCAGGCCTCTTTTTCAGACGACACAGAGTGTTGTATCCCGCAGACAGAAATACCTAACACATTGCCATTGCCATGGGGAATCTCCCACGAGCCGCATCGATGATGGGTGCTGCCGTTATTCCCACGAGCGTGGCAACCGGTCGCACGACAAAGAAGGCCAACTTTCCCAGAACCCAGAAAGCTGGCAGGAACCGGTGCGAAGGCCGCCGACGAATGGAGGAAATCAGACGCTGGGCTTGCGGCCATCAGCTGATGGCGAGCTATTGACCAACGTAAATGGAAGCGGGTGCTCGCAGGATGAAGCAATAGGAGCCAAGTACAAATGCCAAGGTCTCGGCCAAGGGAGAAAGAGTGAAAACTGGAGATTTGCCAAGACGCCCCAAGACAGCCAGAGTCTTGGCATCGTATGCGCCCGGATGTTGCGGTGTTGGCGAGGTACTTGGAATGCCAGTGGGTGGTGTCTGTTTTCTCGTCAGGATCCGACTGTGTTGCCGAGCCGCCGCTATCTCACTAACGGCTATCTGTCACCATGAAATGATAGAGCGGAGTGTGCGGACTACAGTGCCAGCCCAGGTAAGGCTCGACGCACCTTGACTGCCTTGTTGTCTCCCCCCATCATCCGCGACATCAGCTCGGCAGCCCTCGCCACCTTGAACCAATCAAAAGTAGGCTGGTCTCACAAGCCCCGGTCGCCAAGACTTTGCCAAGACTCTTGGAAGGGTAGGAAGAGCGGAGAGGAAATGTGATTCATGAATAAAGAGAAGAGCCCATCGTCCATGCCCCCCAGATCAGACTGATTGATTTCCCTCGAGAACAACCCAGTCCTATGAGAGTCGGCAGAAAAACATAAAAGCATTGCTGACCGTCTCTTTTTTCCCCCTTCAGCTTTGTATTATCCCAAGTATACTCTCGCCTGGTCTCGGCAATCTACAACCCACCACTGCCTGAAGTATCAAGAAAAGGACCCCACTCCAACTTACACAACCATCCAATCCCAAAGCGCCTGCTTTCCCACAACCCGAACGGGACCCGGCACATTCCAATTTTCCGGACTCTCTTCACCGAGCCCGCAAGTTCGGTCAGCACTCACACACGCATACACACACATTATACCCCGGTCACCATGTCCGCCAAACAAGAGAATGAGAGCTCTGCGAGCAACTCTCCCAAAAGCAGCACGCCCGCTCCCTCAACAACAACCAGCAACACTTCCCAGTCTGCCAACAGCACGAGCAACGAGGACAACCTCATCTGCAAGTGGAACGCCTGCAACCTGAAGTTTGTCTCACCCGAGGCTCTCTACGTAAGTGGCAACTCACGCTTAATCTTTTATTTCACCCAAACATCTCACTAACCAACTCCACAGGAGCACATCTGTGAACGCCATGTTGGCCGCAAGAGCACCAACAACCTCAATCTGACTTGCCAATGGAACTCCTGCAGAACGACCACTGTGAAGCGTGACCACATCACTTCTCACATTCGTGTGCACGTTCCTCTCAAGCCTCACAAGTGTGAGTTCTGCGGCAAGTCATTCAAGCGTCCTCAGGATTTGAAGAAGCACGTCAAGGTAAATCAGCCAACATCTACCAACCAAAACTATTGTGCGATCTCCAAGCTTACACGAACCAACAGACCCACGCCGATGACTCGGTGCTCGTCCGCTCGCCCCAGGACCAAGGTCTGAACGGCTACCGGGCGCAGCCTGGCAAAGGTATGTAGAGCTCAGTTTGCACACTCCCAAAAAGTCTGTCCTCTATTTTCTCCAACTAGAGGCTAATTTGCCTCCAGCTTCTTCTAGCTACTATGATCATAATGGCCATATTCGGACTAACAGCGCCGCCTTCGCACACCAGGCTGGGCATGCTAGCTACTATGCACCCCAACCATCTACAAACTATGGACTGTACTTCAACCAACAACCCTTGAACCCTCCCCGAACTGAGTACATTGGCCACCACGGCGGCTATGACAACCGCAACAAGCGCGCCTTCGACATGGTTGACGACTTCTTCGCACACGCCAAGCGTCGCCAGGTTGACCCGACCTCCTATCAACAAGTCGGCCGATCTCTTCTCCCCCTTCACGGCGCTCTCGGCCTGCACGCCGGCCCCATGCCCGGCTCCGACTACATGGCAGCCCCGCCCCAGCAGCACGTTCACCACCAACAGGCCGGCGGACCTCCTTCCGGCCCCGGACCCATGTCCCAGCAGTACTACCTGCCGCCCATGCCCAACGCCCGCACCAAGAACGACCTGGTCCAAATCGACCAGATCCTGGAGCAGATGCAGAGCACTGTCTACGAGAACTCGCACCAGGCCACGCAAGGAATCCACATCCATGGCCAGAACACTTTCGATCTCCGCCACAGCCCCTCGCCCCCGGGTGTTCACCGAGGCTCCCACGCCGGCATTCCAGTCACCCAAGACGGCTACCCCGTGTCCGCTGCTCACATGGCGTCCCCGTTGACCGCAGTCTCGTCGACTGGAACCCCCGCCGTCACTCCTCCCTCAAGCACAATGTCATACACATCTGGTCACTCGCCCAGCCCCTCTTCTTCCGGCATGTCTCCCCAGTCAAGACACAGCTCCACCGCTTCGTCAGTCATGTACCCCAACCTCCCGGCCGTCAGCTCCGTCTTCCCTGGCCAGTCCACTGCCTCCACGCTCGGTCCCAGCTTCGACAGCAACGAGCGCAGACGCTACTCTGGAGGCATGCTCCAGCGCGCCGCGCCCTCCTCGCCAAAGTCTCCCATCATCTACGAGGACTCCTCCAGCGTCACCACTCCCAAGGCCGAGTCCGTCGCCTCGTCTGTCGGCTCTCCCTCTTCCGAGTCGGACACCAGCGAGGGCGCCCGCGAGCGCGAGGAAAAGTACGACCAGTGGCTCGAGAACATGCGCACCATCGAGGCGCTCCGCGAGTACATCCGCGATCGCATCGATCGCAGAGAGTACTCTGAGGAGTCCGCCGAGAAGGCCGCGGAAGCTCTTCCCAAGTCTCTTGAGGCTAGCCGTCTCAAGTCTCCGGAGCCTATGGAGGTCGACGCGAAGCCTGCTCCGGCTGCGCCATTGTACCCCATCCTGCGCATGGCGAACTGAAGAATCCAGACACTGTGCTGTCTGCCGAAGAGAGGGCCTCTCAGGCGCGTGTACCAATAGCTGTGTGTGTCCTACAAGCGTGTTTTCCAGAAAAGTTTTTCTCCAACTTTGAATTGAGGGAAAAGTGATCGGTTTTAACAAAAAACTGGTTCGTATATTATTCTACTGCAAAACTTCCTTTTTTCTTCTTTTTATCAAATGCGCTTCTGGCAAAATACCTCCCCCCCAAGGCTCAAGCCTTGTCGAAGCCTCTTTTGTTACGTTTACATACCCTGGTCGGTGGAAGTTGAAAAGGGCAAAGTCGGATTTGAAATCAACGCAGTCTTCAAAACGCAGATGGATTGGAGTGGACATACTCCCAAACCAACACACCAAACAACACTTTTGATTTTCACACAACACACCCAACAAGCATTTTATCATGTCAACGGAAAGAGGGAGAGTTTTAAACATTCGGGAGGGCTTTGCGAGTTCCAAAGCACATTGCCATGAGTGCGAAACACATCTTTTTTTTGCTTTCCACCTCCATCAACGAACGGTTGCGCAGTTTTTTATCATACGGAAATTATCGGAACGGGAAAATGATGAGATCATGAAAACAAACCAAACCACCAAAACAAAGTCATGTTGCTTCGCCACCTATGTAGTCAGTCTCCTTGGCCTCGAACGCAAAGGGTCGAAATGAATGCTTTATTATTACCTCTGAACATTTTTGATCATTTGAACTTGATTTGATATGACATCTTGGCACCTGTGATTATTGTAGACAAACATTCCGAGAAACTAGATCATTGGCATCTGTCTCGGGGTGTAAGTCAAGTCATGTCTTCAACTGAACAACCCTTCCCATCCGGGCCGTTAAGCCGAACTTGTGCCTAGAAATCCAAGTCTCTTCTTAATCACCGAAACCGCCTCAAGGCCCCAGTCCTTCTCGCTGCCGCTTTCGCTCCCCGGATGTGGTGGAAGAAGCCCCGAGATCTACATCTTTAAACTTTGCCATCATCTTAAAAAAGTCCGGCCGACTAAGTACTGGCAAAAGCCCGCAAGCCATGTCATTCCACAAGAACCACTTCTCCGCACGCCGACTCTAAGAATAGAAACGGACACCAACGGTCTCTCGCGAGCTGATTCCTCGATACGGCCCTTTGGCCATTATCGTAGATACAGCAGAGGGCTTGACGATTCCTGACAGTCCGTCGTTGCCCGGCCCTAGCCGAGAGAGTCTACGGATGGGATGCCTTTTTGAGAGAATGAAGTTGTCTTGCCAAGATGGCCGGATCCGGTCTCTGGTAGACCGGGGGCCGGGCCGCAGATCGTCATTCTCACGTCTGCCCAGGACGCCTTTTCTTCTCGGTCACCCAACCCTAAATTCTTCTTGCGCCTTTGAGGAATGTTGCCGGAGCCCCGTGACCTACTTCGCGACCCTTCAGAGATTGTTTCCTTTCCAAGGTTCAGGTAGAGCAGGCTGCAGAGCGGGAATATGATTCGGGATCCCTGGAATGATCCTTCACGATGGCCTTGGACCGGCCCTTTGATCCCTATTGATCAGACGCTGAGGTTGTATCAAATAATTCAAGATGAATTCGAACATTGTGTATCATCAGGGAACGAGAATTGCCAGTCATACTGTCTGCCGTATGACATTACCGCCCTACGCGATACCGAGTCTGTTGAGTGCTTCGACTGAGACATGAGCTGACGGGTCAGCACCTGCCAAGCTTCCGGCTTACAGACGACAGACATATCGAGGACGAAAACGCCCTCTCTGACTCTTGGCGAGAGCCGCGAGATGATGTACAGCTCATATCTTGGTAGCTTTCCTCCCTTCAACAACACTTTCGACACTTACACGGGTGTCTTGCAGTCTACTTGGATTCTCCACATTCAACCGAACATCATAGATCGAGACATTCTTTTAACCCTGTGATCGGCCAGTTCCTCGGCGGGAACCGAGATCTTGCCGGGGGGTGGGGGGGGTAGTCAAGCCCGCAACACAGCATATCGGTGGTCCACGAGCATTAAGCTAGCAACTCATTGCAGCCCTAGTAATCTTTTTCGTGCTTTTCCAGGTCTGGTTCCAGGCCATATTCATGAATTTGATGATCCGAGATGCCTAAAAATCACCTGACTTTTACAATTAGCATACAATCGACCCTGCGAATTCTGAAATCTCGCTTAAGAGCGGGCGTCTAGCATTTTCTGGTGAACCGAAATAACAATAAACTCAAAAAAAAAACTTCAAATTACCCTACGCATCGTAAGAAACGAGGTCGCACTCCGTAGGTAAGCGGCCATCAGAGTTTCTTTTCTTCGACAAACGATCCGCAATTATCTGCGCAGATCCGGCGGTTTTCGTGAAATTCTTACGGGTGGCTGAGATCTAGACGAAGACGCTAAGCGGTTCGTGCTACTGCCCAATTCAGGCGTGCAGTGCAACGCCATCAACCTCACCGGTCGCGGGTGGTGCCGGCTCGAGGCTTGAAAGTCTCAGTCTGACATCGTCGTGTCTCTCCTTGGGGGAACTTTCTTGACTACGGAAGGGTACGAAGTAGGTCTAGGGAGGGTTTAGATATGGCTCTTCTAAGTGACCAATCAGGTTCTTCAGGTCAGAGATTTGGTGCGATGTTGTCATCGTTGCCGGTATAGCTTGATAGATTCTCACAAGCACGAGGAGATAGTCAAGGGGTTACACGATATAGAAAGAGTATATAAGTCGTCGTAGAACCTCGAAGAAATTGAATATGTCTTCCAGAAAATCACCACACATCCAGTCCTCCAACATCAAACATCAAACCACAAAGACCATAACACCTTCAAACTTTCCAACCAAGAAAAGAGTAAAAAAAAAATACTAGTACCAAACATGCAATTCTCTATCAACCCCCTCCTCCTCGCCATCATCGGCACCCTTACCCTCGTCCACGCCTCCCCCGCCGGCGTCGCCTCCGGAGACCTCCTCTCCCCCCGCGAAGCCATCCCCTTCCCCGAACCAAAGGCCAACTGCTGCTCCTGCGACCTCGAGGACCGCGGCGCCGGCAACTACGTCTGCAAGGTCGCCAAGAAGAGCATCTGCGCCGTGCCACTCATCGCGTGCCCGCTCGACCCGGCCACCCAGGAGCAGTGCTGCTGCTGCGACCCCAAGACGCCCGCCATGCGTTGTAAGGCGATCCCCAAAGGCAGCGGGTGTATCTGCACCGCCGTCAAATGTCCTTTCTCGTTTGACATGTCGTTCTTGCCTGCTGGTGGTTTCTGAGGTCTCTTAAAGTGTTGGTGGAGGCTGGTGTTAGTTGGCTCAAGGGGGGTTTTAATATGCACGATCTTGCCGGGGTATTCAGCCAATAGACTAGCATTCATGGGATACTTCAATGAACATGGCGAGAAACTGAAGAATAATATTTTTCAAACAACTCACTTTTAGTAATACAGATGATATAAGTGACGTTCCGCTGGTGATATGTCCATCTCATCGAAGCTTTGGTTTCGGAAGAAAAAGTCAGCCAAGAAGTTTTGGCAGAACACCTTCATTCACAATTCTTTAGACATCAATCGGCTGTTGCTCAGTGAGATAGATGGCTTTCGCGAAATAATCTCTTGTTACTCGGAAACTTACAAGTCCGCAGCCCGCGGGACATCCCTCCATGTCGCCTCATTTTGGCGAATGGAGCAAAATAGAGTTATTCCGTTGTTCATTCGCCTCGATTCGAAGGTTGGAGAGATGAACAAGAATGTTGGTTCGGAAGCGAATTGTGATCCACAATCTATTTCCCCGATACCCTTGACAAACTTTCCTTGGCTGAACTATCCTTGTTCAGAGTCCTTCGGGCATACGCTATCCTTATCCTGCTATCTTTATCCGCCTCGGTGTGTTTGAACACCTAGTCTACAATAACCCCGCGTAACCAACAAGTGATTGCTGACCACAAGCGCGACTAATTTAGACGAAGATGGGAAGAAGGAGGGTCGAGAGAGAAGAAGGATATCAGTGGAGGCGGAGGCGGAGGCGGAGGCGGCGGCGGAGTGAAGGCCGCGGGTGATCTAGCATCTAGCGTAGTGAAGCTCAGCGCGATTGAAAGATGTGGGGAGGGTTGGGATAGCGCGGTATGCATCGGCGGAGCTCCGCTACACATGGAGGCTTGAGGATATGCGCGAGAGCTTAAAGGGTTGTTGTATGCGCTTGGAAACTTGGAGATGTCATATAAGAGCGCATTTCCGTATACAACATCACAGAACTCAAGCTCAGAGGCATTGGCGATCCAAGACACCCATGGTCTAATCCTCGTCACCCGTCCCTGAAAGTCCCCTTACATCGCTACAATTTGTCTTCAGCTCACTCAATCTTCCTCAAGAGTAATCCGTAAAGCACACAGATACGTGTCTTACTACCCCAACTTTACCCCTGTCTTCCGTTTCTTTACCCCCCGAACTCGACGCAAATATGGGTTCTCTCCCCGCACCCCCGGCCCAAACCGAGTACCAGATCTTGGAGAAGCCAAGCCGAAGCGGAAGAAAGCTCCGCATCGTCTGCCTCGGCGGCGGCGCCAGTGCCCTCAACCTCGCCCACGAGATCGACACCTGCAAGACTCTCGACCTGGACCTCATCTGCTACGAAAAGAATCCTTCCATCGGCGGTACCTGGTACGAGAACCGCTACCCGGGCTGCGGATGTGATATCCCCTCTGTCAACTACCAGTTCTCGTGGGCGCCGTCGCCAGAGTGGACAAAATTGTGAGTTTTCTGGCGTCTGACGGCCCCCGGCTTTCAGTGCAGAGATTAACATCGTTCTTGGTAAAGTTACTCGAGTGCCCCGGAGATCCTACAGTATTTCAAGGATATCGCGGATAAGTACGATCTCAACAAGTACATCCGCCTCAACCACACCGTGACGGGTGCGTTCTGGAACGAGGGGAAACAGAAGTGGAGCATCCAGATCCAAAAGGCAGACGGCACCACCATCGAAGACTCGGCCGACATCTTTGTCAACGCCAGCGGCGTGCTCAAGTATGCAGTATCCTTCTCAAGATTGTCAGGCGTCTCTGGCTAACACATCGTCTGGCAGCAAGTGGAAATGGCCCGCCATCAAGGGCAGAGAAACTTTCAAGGGCAAGATGATGCACAGCGCCAACTGGGATAACAGCATCGATCTCAAGGGCAAGAAGGTTGGCGTGATTGGCTCTGGTTCTTCTGCGGTTCAGATCGTTCCCAATATTCAGCCAAGTATGTTCTCTCTCACAACCCTAACCCCCTATTTCGGCAAGAAATCAATCTAACAAGTTACAGTCGTCGGCAGTCTGAGTTGCTTCATTAGAAGTTCCTCTTGGGTAGTTGGGGGTTTCGGTCAACGCTTTGCTGGAAAGAAAGGCAGCAACTTCGAGTGTAAGTTGTCATATCATAAACCAGCATGTTTGACAATTTTCTGACATATGCGAATGCAGACAGCGAAGAACAACACGAGATCCTTCGAAAAGACCCCAAGAAGTACCTTGCCTACAGGAAGAAGATTGAGTCCGAGTTGAACTCCCGCTTCCGCTTTATTCTCAACGGCTCAAAAGAGCAGGCTGATGCCAAAGCAGTAAGTACAGTCCCGACTTCCTCCCCCACATCTTAGACTGACAAGTCATCAGTTCGCGGCCGAAGACATGCGCAGCAAGCTCGCCAGCAGGCCGGATCTCCAGGACCTCATCATCCCGAAAGACTTCGCCGTCGGCTGCCGGAGGCCAACTCCTGGAAATGGGTACCTCGAGGCGCTCTGCGAAGACAACGTGAACGTCATCTCTTCAAGTATCCAGGAAATCACACCCAATGGAATGAAGACCGCAGATGGAAAGGAGCACGAGTTCGACATCATCATCTGCGCTACGGGCTTCGACGTTAGCTGGAGGCCGCACTATCCCACGATAGGCCGCGACGGTGTCAGTCTCAGCGAGTACTGGCGGGAGACACCAAACACCTACCTCTCTATGACAGTTGCCAATATGCCCAACTACGTCAGTACGTTGACCCCACTACTCCTAAGTCTAATGCGAGAACTCAGGCTAATTGTGTACCAAAGTCTTCAACGGTCCTTACGGTCCCTACGGCCACGGAAGCTTCCTCCCCATCACCGAAACGGTGGCGAGATACGTGATGCAAATGCTCCACAAGATGTCAGAGGAAGAGATCTCCTCCTTCTGTCCAAAGCAGGAGGCCGTCAACGACTTTGCCGAGCACCGGCGCAAGTTCCTCCCAAGGACTGCGTGGACTTCGCCATGCCGATCCTGGTTCAAGAGCGGCACCGTGGACAAGGAGCCCATGATGTGGCCGGGCTCGCGTATCCAGTTCTTCGAGACGATTGCCACCCCGCGCTGGGAGGACTATGATCTCAAGTATACGACGAGCAACCGGTTCGGATACTGGGGCAACGGCTTCGCGCAACGTGAGCAGGATGGTCGGGATTTGACCTGGTACCTTGGGCTTCTTGATGGTGTTGATGAGCAGCCTGCACTGCCTGACGAGGATTTTGAGGAATTCTTGATGAACAAATAGAAGGGAAATAGGAATAGCGTGTTTGAGTAATTGAAACAAGTGGCCACACAATAATATTTTATCTGCGCGGCAAGACAGCTCAATCTGCCGCAATACGGCTGTATGTGTGGCATCACATTACATAGCACGCTTTACAACGGATTAATGCTATTGCTAATTGCATCAAACGATCAAATGAGCCGAATTTGTTCCCAAAGACCACAAATTGTGTCCCTTTTGGGGCCTTCACTAGAGCCTGGACTTATCACAGAACAGTTCCTATAACTTCTCGGACCGATCAGACAAAGATTTGTCAGTCTTCATCATGCCTTCCTCCATTTTCGTTGCCTAATCTGCAGTCCAGCCTGCTTCCAGATATATTCAAGACTTGATGCTCAGATTGCTCATCATTCCATTTAGACCACGACGGTTTTTCTTTCCTTTCTTCTTGAAAGCACCAATCTCGGGACTTTGTGCGGACATAACTCTGTCGTCTTGCAAATATTCTCGCTTGTGAAAGATTGGTATACCAACATAACTAAACTGCCATATTGGTATCACGCAAAAAAGACGCAGTCAGTATATGCTGTTCAGTCAGTCACAAAATAGCATCTCACTCCTAGAAATACCCACACCCCATGCGTCTCCTAAGCTAAGCTCATGCGTCCCGGTCACTTAGCTAGCTGTAAAACTCTGCACCTTGCATATGTTATTTAGTATTCCCGGGTTGAAAAGCAGCAGGCAAGCCTTTAAAATTTACTCAAGAGCTGTCGCTGGAAGGAGGAGAGCAATTTGGCATTGATATCACAGTTTTTATGAGAGACGAAATAGCTACCGTTATTCCATCCTCTATTGCTCCGAGATGAGAAAATAAGCTAAATTCATCAAAGCACATTAAAGAACATAGCGGAAGGCGGGCTGTTCGAAATCCGTCAAATCTAAAAACTCAGTTCCTGATGCGGCGGCCTCCGGCTCCTCGGCCGCCTTCTTATCACGGCGCTTATTCTCCCAGATGTTGACAAGTCGGATAGCGACGATAGTGCAGCCAGCGAGGCCGTACATGATGGCAACCATGAGCTTGCCGTTGTGATAGTTGGGTGCCTCGTTGGAACGGAACGTCTGCGGGCCGATCCAGTTACCAGCTCCGTAGGCCAGGATCTGGAGTCCGTTGACGGTGGCCTTCTTTGTGTAGCCGAGGGTGTTGTTCGAGATCATGACCATGACGAGGCACCACGATGAGCCTGCAGCTCCGATGAGGTAGTAGCCCACGAGCAAGGCGCCCTGAGCCGAGAGGGGAATGACGATCATCATGATGCCGCCGATCATTGGGATGAGAATGGCGATAAAGGCGAAGAGGGAGCGGTCCATGAACTTGTCTGAGAGGTACGTGAAGAGGAGTTTGCAGGTGATATCCACGACGCCTGTAGGCATGTTGAGAAGGAGAGACAGGCGAGAGTTGAAGCCGAAGGAGTTGATAATGATGGAGCCAAAGGCAGTGATACCTCCGTTAGGGATGTTCATAAGCAGTGAGAAAAGAACGTAGAGGTAGGTTCGGGGGTCCTTGAAGGCCTCGTAGAATTGATCCCACTTCCACTTGCGACTTCCGATGCCCTGGAAGTTACCACGAATACGCTCAATGGCAATGGTTTTCTCTCGGTGGTTGAGAAACTTTGCATTAGTCTGGTTGTCGGGCATGAACCACCAACAGTAGACACCTGTGATGACTGTGGGCAAGCCAAGGACCAGGTACAGAACCTTCCAAGTTGCCAGGACGGTGTTGTGTGCACCGGAAAGACCGTAGGCAATTGGGCCAAGGGTCAGCAGGGCAACACCATTGCAGCTGAGCCAGTAGCCCATGCGCTTGGCCTGCTCGTTTTGCTTGTACCAGGCCGAGGTCAGGATGACGAAGGCTGGTGTCACGGTGGCTTCGAGAGCGCCGAGGAAGAAGCGAACCGATAGGAGACCGGCGTAGTTGAAAGCGAAGACGTGGCAGACTAGGACAACGCCCCAAAGGGTGATGTTGGCCGATGTGTACTTTCCGAGAGGCAGGCGTCGAAGAAGATAAGTCGTAGGGAACCTTGAAGTGATTAGCAGAATATTCTGTAGTTTTGGGATGGTAATGAAACCCACTCCCAGAGGAGGTAGCCAGCATAGAAGATAGAAGAAGCCCAGCTGTACTCCTGACTTTTGGGGTTGAGACCCGTGTCCTCACGGATGCCCATCAACGAAGCATAGTTCAGGGAAGTTTTGTCGGCGAATTGAAGAGCGTAGATCCACATCAGAAGGGGCAAAATCGCCCTGTCAATCTTCCATAGAACTTTTCGTTCCTCTTCAGGGGTGAATGTGACTTCTTCTCCATTGGCAAATGCTAGGGCCGGGTCGACTTCACCATGCTTGAGCTTCTCCATGCTGCCGTCCTCAAAGTCGGTGTGGGTTCGGATAACATCGCCACCATCAGGCTGTGCTGTCTTCTTGTTGGTTTCGGAAGACATTATTAGGACTCTAATCGAGGGAGGTGCTGATGAATGATGTGGTCTTCGAAGGGGTGTCTGGATAGGTGCTGGTCGAGTACCCTCACGACACAGGTCGTTTTCTTGACACCTGACTGTAGAAAAGATAAAATATCCAACCGTAGGTAGACTTGGATGTTGTCGAAACGCCAAAGGTTGTGTCGAGGTTGACCTAGGCAGGTAGAGGATGGCTAGAGGCAGATGCTGGGAATTTTCAAGGGGCTGGTTGGGAAAGCTCGGGGTTTATAGGTGTCCCGTGCTGAGCAACGACAGCAATCAGTCTTCTCTCTCTCATCTTGATTGAGGCTGATCTAGGAGCAATCGACATGGGGTGGCCTTTGTGGCGGTAGCAAGCCAAACCACACTCAATTTGAGAGTGGCCTGGCTGGTTATCGCTGAGATAGGGGATTTTCACATCAAGCTCGGTCATGCTGCTATCTCGGATCCACCCTCGTCTCATGCATGCCAACGGAGCTCCGCCCCCGCATTTTGAGGTTGGCCTGGTCGACGCAGCAAGCTCCGCAATCTTGGGGTACGACGGGATGAGACATCCATATCCCGGCTGAGTGCCGTTGCCGTTATCTCCGAGTCTTTCCATCGCCGCTTGACACACACTCTAACATACGACGCTAGATAACATGACAGTTGTCTATGGAGCTAGTATCCAGCTGGATGGATCAGCGGAGCCCCGTTCCCTCTCCCCGGATCCGGAACAGTACGTCTTTGGTAGCTTCGTGGGATATGCACCCCAAGTCATGAACTTGGAAATGAAACACAAATGGACAACGATACACTGTTAAGCGTCGCTCTTCTATCCGAGTCCCCATCAGACGTATCTAGACTATCGATAATTTACTTATTGAGTCACGACTTTGAAAAAGGTCTAAGAGAACTGGTATTCGTGAAATTAACAACGGTTTCTCGTCTTCTCAACTTATTTTAATAACCTTTGTTTCGGAATGATGCCTCAATTGGATGAATCCAACAGCGAGCTCATTCTAGTTAGACTGTCTACTGTTCTCGTTCCAAAAAGGCAGTGAAGCTTCGAGCCGGGCTGCACCGTAGATTGACGAACTATCCAATGATTCTCCTGCATACTTCCTAGCGGCCTCCATGCGGGACAACGCTGTTTCGATAGTCGGTATTCTCGTACCATGCTCCTCGGCGATCCTCACCGCGTGTCCGGCATCCTTGGCCGCCAGAGACACGGCGAAGCCGGGGGGCGTCCCCAGGGGTGGCGCGTATGCGCCCGTTGTCATCCGCTTCGAGTAGCTCTCGATAACGGGACCGTACATGTCCCTGATGAACTGCTCCATCTGGCGAGTACCGAGCCCGGTTTTCTCGGCAAAGACTTGCGCCTCGGCGGTCAGCTCCTGGAAGCCAATGACAAAGATGTTTCTGTCGTAGATATGTGTGATTAGCAGTTTGGGTAGTCTCGGACCGATTTGGTTTCATGGCTGCCAACGGGATTAAGAGTTGGTTCTTACCCTGATATCTTGAGCAAGCTTGATTTGCGGACATCTTCTCCCATATCTATTATGCTCTTGCCCATAACATCGACTACGAAGGGCCTCAGCTTTCCAATAGCAGCGGAGGGGCCGGCCATGGCAAAGATGAGTTGACCAGCGGCCGCCATAGGACTAGCCCCGAAGACAGGGGACGCAACAAACGTGGCGCCTACTTTAGCAAGGCGTTCGGAGCACTTTGCCGCCGTATCTGGGTGGACGGTTGATGTGTCAACCCAGATCTTGCCTTCGAGTAAGGCGCTGCTCCAAGTGTCGAGAACCTTCGATACAAGGCTATCCAGAACCTCATCATTTGAGATCTGGTATGGTCAATAAGCGAGTACGGCTATAACACAAAATCACAGCATGATTGCAAATTACCATTGTGAAGATCACGGATGACTTCAGGACCAAAGTCTCGAAATCTCTTTCGGGAAGACCTCCAGCTTCTCGAAGAGTCTCCCCTCGAGAGAGTGTCCGATTGCTGTAACGAAGAGGTGGCAGACCCTTCGATGCGAGATGCTTCTGAAGATTCAAGGCCATGCCTATCCCCATTGACCCTAAGCCAAACTAGAGTTACATGTGAGTGAGCAAGGGACTGTGGTGAGCAGCAGGGGGAAGCAGTACCCAGCCGAAAGTCTCTTGTGCAGCCATTCCACTTGGCGTTTACTTGACGGTAATGCAATCAGCGTTGGATTGACGTGCGAGATAAGCTGACGATAAACCCCTTGGAAAGATCGAAACAGTTCGGAAAATTCGGAATGTCACAGACTTTTCCAAGTGACAATTTAAGCGCCTCTTGAAAGTGTAGATATACAGTTCGAGATAAGTGGTGGCTGCGGCGGAGCTCCGCAGCAACCCTAGCATCGGGCAGCGGCCTCCTCGCCGCGCGCTAGTCGGCATAACCTTACTCGTAAGCCATACCACCAGCCGAGATGACCTCCTCAAGCACCGTCGTCATGAACGACCCCATTGCCCAGACAGGCCTCTGCTTCCAAAACTGTAATACGGTTTCCATGAAGCGTACCTCGCTCGCCTCCGACGCCATGCCCAATGCGGTAGACTCCCGAACCGAGAGGCGCCGAGTCTGGCCACTGATGTCCTCTTGAAGCTGCAAGACTTCAAGGATGGAATTGAAGACGATGGTCGAAGCCTCAAACCGAATGCGGACGGTCGGCTGTGTTCCTGCCTTGCGTCGCATCTCTCCTGTTGCCCAGCGCAGTAGCCTCCATATCGCCAGGAGGATCTTGTATGTAGCCACCGTTGCCCAAGGCGCTTCTCTCAATGGATCTTGCCTTTCGATGTTTGTCACACTTGACAGGACGTCCATCAGGTCATCAAGAAAGACCAACATTCCGTCATCGCCGGAATTATACCTGAGTAGGTTTTGTAACGATCTTCGAGCTCCCACTTGAAGCCCCATGGTGAGATGTGTCGCGGTGGTGAGGCCAGCAACAACACTATTCTCCACGATACCACCAATCAGAAGATCATCAGGTTTGCAGAGCGCGAGCTTGACGGATAGTGCGATACGCTCGGCAAAGTTCAAGATGTGCCAGTTCGAGCTATTCGCCGCGGCGACTTGCGTTGTGATGATTTCGGAAATGTATCGCAAAGCTGCACTGACCTGTCTGTTTTGAGATTGAGTGAGAATGTGGTACGCGTTGGGGTCGGCCAAGGCCGGTGGGAGCTGGTAGTAGCATCGGGTGAAATCCCTGACCAGGGAATCGAGGCTGGTGAGAACGAAGAGCGTCGCCATCGGCGAAGCACGTAGCGCCGCTAAGAGTTGCGGACTCGGTGTGTCCGTCATCAATGATTGCATTGCAAGGTTGAGTGATTTGGTTGTTGGGCAAGTCATGCCAGGCGTGTCGTGAGATCGGGTCAGTCCGACGGTTCGGGGTTCGTCTCCGAGCCGCTGGGCCCAAGCTAGAGAAGTGTCCGCCTCCCACAACGATGAAGCAAGGGGCAGCTCCCAATCGAGCTCAGTGGGAGTGGTAAGTGGGCGAATGTTGCAAGGGGAGAAAATATGAAAGTCGAGGAACAGCAGAGTGTACATGGATAGCTTCATGGACTCTGACTCGACGTATGACATCCAGTGATCGTGTAATGTCTGTTCTTCGGAGTCCCTGAACCTGGATGTCGACTGGAAAACGTTTTGACGTAGGAGACCCAGGTCTCGGGCGGCCTGTTCACGTTAGATTGATCAAATACTCAGCCAGCACGTATCATCAAAGACAACTAACGTCTACAATCCATCGCAGCATCTTCTTTGATCTGTCGAAGTGTGATGTGTTGCCAGTAAAGGCCCCATAGATGATATGCAGGAGCCAAGCTTGCATGACCCATGTCCTTCGGATTTCTCTCCAGTCCACCTCAACCTGGCATAAGTGAGCATAATACGACCAACACTTGATCTGAGATAGTAAGTTAGACTTACAACTCGCCAAAGTTCATCATGACTATATTCCCATAGTGTCTGGCTCTTCCGCATTAAGGATGTCGTTTCCTCTTCAGATTCGTTTCTGGAAGCATATAGCATGCCAATTGAAACGATAATCTGCTTCGACAACTTTGGTAGCTCATTCCCCAGGCTCTGTCGATGTAGGAGTGGAAATGATGGATGAAAACTCTCAAAATACGTTGATATGTAGCCTTCTGTCCCGCCCATCATAATCCTGGAGAATCAGTCAGCTACGAAATAAGACATCATCTTCATACAACATACTCCGCCACCAGAAGCTCCTCCGGGGTAGGCGCTTCTGTAGCTTCTGGTGGGCTATTCGGGTAGACTGTGTCATCGCCAACACCAGCTCTGATGCCCTCCTGAGAAGTCGAAAAGGGCGAGTTATCTTGGTCGTCTGGTGAAAGAGCAGTATCTTCAAGAGCCGGTGCCGGTTGCTCTGCTCCATTCTCGATACCAGTGACCGTCAACACACTGCTGAAAGTGCCTCTACATCTTTCGGCATGTCGTTTACACACATCCTTCCTAGTGAACCTGGCTTTGCAGTTTGCACATCTGAATGGCCTACGGCTATCGCTCCCATGTCCTGGGGAATGTGAGTTTCACAAATGAAAAGTCGGGGGCCGGAGCTGACACATACTCGAACGTTTATGGCGTTCCAAATTTTCCTTCAACGTGGCTTAGTCACCATAATGAAGTGCAGATCGAAGAGTACATACGTTTCTCGTAAATGTCTGCGTGCACTCTGTGCAGGTGAACGGCCGCGAACTCATCATGGGCGTAATGCTGCTTTTGATGTTTGGGTGGACGTTGAGCACCCCAGTGAAGAGAGAAGTAGCTAAAGGGGCGATGGGCCCGTGCGTATGTGCTTATCAACTCCGGTTGTTGCATACTGTAACTGAGGGTCTGCCTATTGGCATACTTCTCCAGACTCTTGCGCTACAAAGGCGAGGGCGACTATCCCATTAACTGCTAGATAGCGTCACTATATCCGTATCTAGTCTTTCTCTAGTTTTTCTCTTCTTCCCTTATACCCACCTATAAATAATCTCGAAATAGATCAAACTTGGAGAAAGACTGGAGACGGATGTAGTCGCTATCTAGCAGTTGATAGGATAGTACCAATGTAGCTGGAACTTTATCTTCTTGGACCTTCCAAATTAAACAAGTTTATATTTATGAAGATCGAATTCATCGGTTTTCACCAGTCTTACAATCTCTGCAACCTGATTCTTCGCGAATTGCAAATGTCCCGTCTCGAGCGAAACCTCATTTTTCCCAAGTACATATAAGTAAGACTGGTTGTTCATTAGGATTGTATTTGATGGTAAAACGTCTTACGAATTGCAATTCGTGGCGCGGCGCAGGGGCTCTAAATGTGCCACTTCGCCATGATGGTAGTTTGTAAATGGTAGAATTTAGACACCTACTGTTACTACTGAGTCTCTACATAGCAATACTAACTAACTAGGGTTCACCTGAACGGAACTATGAAGGTAAAAAATGTAGATTGAATTTCGTTCTGGGAAGAAGATAAGTGACACAGGAAAATTTTAGGCTTGTCGAGAGCTGTATCGAAGATCCAATCACATCTCAAGCTTGATGTTCCTGTCAATATTGTCCGACTCAAACGTCCGAATCATAACCCCAGTAGCTGTGTCATTCCATGCAGTCGTTTCTCCTTGTACGAATCCGCTGCTGGTACAGTAATCCATGATCCTTCCCGCGGTTCTTGCAATTTCTTGACTGTGGTCGGGAGAATCCTGTCAGTAAAAGTCGCTTAGAGGATTCGAGAAGAGTCAACATGAGGGCAGGGGCAAGCGCTTACCAAGTCGACTGGTGCAGAGATTGCTTGTTTTTCCTCCATCCGAGAATGAAAGTTTTGCCATTTGAGCGGCAGAATCCTGTCGCCTCCTTTTCATTCACAACACACCTGTTGTCAGCTTGGTTTGCTAGCCATTGAATGCACCAGGCGGCGTCCTCCATCTGCAGTTTAAACATGGTCAGCCAGATAATTTATTTGGTGCTACACTTGGAACAGAGTTGATAGCTGTGAAGACGCACCGGTGCCATGTCTGTGGGGAAGCTATTGCATCGAACAGTGTTGATGTCAATTATCTTGCCGTTATCCGAGGACTTGGACTTGAGGAAAACTTTGTCGCGCTTGTTCAAGTGATTCCCGTCAAAAACTCCAGAACCAGAAGCATTGTGAGGAACACTTGGCTGCCAGCCTGCCGTGGGAAATTAAAGGTTAGCAGATCATTCACGATCCATCCACTTTTGGGTCCTCGTCCATAGACGAAGCTAGGGGGCAGGTAGAAGTCTCACCGATGATGTTGCGAGCCCTAACCGAAGCTTCGGCCGCCTCTTCCGCAGACAGATGCTGAGCCGTGGGATTAGTGATGATATCATCAGCCCATTGCTCAAAGGTGAAAGGCGCGAGTGAACGTGGCCGGCTGGAGGATCTAACATCAGTCGGACCTGCAGCTATCAAAGGAGCAGTTGCCAGGACACAGAGTGCAATTATGGGTTGCAGGAGCATCTTGACTGGTTCTCAATGACGAGATGATTATGGCCTGTCAATATGAAAGTGGAAGCTGTGATACTGAACTGCTGTTGTCCAACTCGACTGCTCAGCGCTGAGTTCCATCCAAACGCAAAAGGAGCAGAAGTCTGTTATATATAGGTAATAGACCGAATTACTAACGTGATTCAAATTCTGTGTGTCTTCTTTGTTTTGATTGATGATTCTTATTGACCGCATTGGGACCACAGGGTCCGTTGTGTTGCTACGTTGCTGAGGTGCCCACTCCCTTGCTCCCTTGAATCTTTATTCCTTTCTGCCCTGCGGGCAATGGCATGTTCTTTTGCGAAAGTTTCGTACAAAGCCTCTTTCCGAATCAATCAAGTAGAAGCCTGAGAGTCTTGCTTCTCAATGATGCAAAATAACGACCAGGCCCAGGGCCATCCGCAAGTTGTTTGGAATTTGTCTCAACATCGCCCTTCGACATCGACATTGAGAAGAACTATCTGATGTCGTAAAGTAAGGTACCTTAGCAAGCTTTACTATACGACACGAAGGCAGGTACGGTTCAAAATGCAGGTCTGAACTTGTTGGAGTTCACCACCATCTTAAAGGGCCGAGATCGTCCAGCTGGACACCCTGCGGTATGGCGGGAGAGGAAATCGATCGTTTCAATAAGATGTAGGTACATGCGGACGACTATGGCAGGGCTACTCATGCATTCCATACGGCTTGACATTTTTCTTCCGGCTTTATCAAATTGATCCATCATCTAATAAATCCCTCGATCGCTCAACATCAATGTTTCCTGCTTCAACGTGTGATGCTACGATGCTCGTGAACCTTGGTCTACCTTGAAATGTCACCGCAGCCACGGCCCCACCGACCCCACTCGCTCCGGCGATCAAACGGCCACTCATCAATACCCCTGCCCGCCCGCCGTTTCAGGAGTCTCGGCCGCACCCTCCGATCTTGCACCAATCATACCGCCTCCATGCCCCCCGTCAGGGGCACCCCGCCACGGCCCACGGCGAGTCAAAAACCCAATTCAATACATGGGGGAGCTACCTCCCCCGATCCGGAGCTTGCTGTCCTCTTTTCCGCGCCAATCTTTTCTCCTTCTCCTTGGATCTTGCTTTCCTTTTAAGCTTCTTTTCACCCCCACCACCGATCACTTGACAGGTGCAGTGGTTTCCCTCGAAGCATCGCATAGCGTAGGGCGCGTCTTGTTTTCGCAGCCACCCCTCACCATGTCTATGAAGACTCTCTTGCCGTTGCTCGCGCTCACCGGCGCGGGCATGGGCTGGCAGCACAAGACCGAAACCGAAGTTCGTGATGCCCTCAAGGCGAACGAGCACAGCCTAATAGCATGTAAGTCCAAACGTGTTCCCACGGCTCCTTTCTCGGTTCATTCTTTCTCCAATGGCATGCTAACAACATCAACAGTTGTTGCGGTAAGTTAAGTCTCCGTTCCATGAGCTGATGTTCTGCGATCGCTCCCCCAAGTTCGATGCTGTCGCCATATGCTAGCAAAGCACTGACCGTACCAAAGCCCTCAATGTACGACACTCCGCACCTGTACAGCGACATTCGTTAACACGGATAACAGCGATGCCAGCATAGCCCTCGAAAGGCACTGGTCCGCAGTCGAGGACGCCATCCCGACCGCCCTTTCGGTAGACTGCTCGATATCAGCCTCGCTCTGCGCCGACTTCGACGTCGCTTCCTACCCCGCTATCCGCCTCTACCGCCAAGACGGCACGAAGCACCACTACCGCGGCCCCAGAAAGGCCTCTGAGTAGGTTACCATTAACAACCCCCTCACCACTTCCAAAAGAGTCTCAGCTAAGCGGTGCGCGTCTCTCATTTCAGAATCACCGCCTTCGTCCGCCGCATGCTCCGCCCCGCCGTCGTCCCCCTCGACAGCAAGGCCGCGAAATCCTTCAACAAGGATGACGACGTGGTGCTGATTGCGCACATGGCTGAGTCCGAGACCAGCCTACGCGAGCGCTTCGCCGAGATGGCCGACCGATATCGCGACCGCTACGCCTTTGGGCTGACGACCATTGACGAGGCGCCCGGGCGGATCGCGTGCTATAACAACGCCGACGGGGCGTTCCACATGACGTCTGAGTTGGACGAGGTCGACTCAATGGAGAAGATGCTGAAGAAGTGCGCGTCGCAGCTCGTGCCGCGGTTGACGAGGAGGAACGAGGCCGAGTATCTTGGCGTCAGTTGGTCCCTTACAGTCTACAGTCCTGCCTTAGGAGGTGCATTGCTGACGTAGATATATCTCACAGTCTGGCAAGTCGTTGACGTACTTCTTCTCCACGGACGAAGGGAGCATGGACTCGTGGACATCGGCCGTGAAGCCCATGGCGAAACAGTACCACGAGTACATCACCTTCGTGACGGTCGATCTCGGCGAGTACCCCGATATGCCCGCGCTCTTCGGCCTGCCAGCGGATGCCACCGAGGGTGTGGCAGTCTATAACCCGGCTGTGGGCCTGGCGTTCCCGTTTAAGGGCGGCAAGATCACGGTCGACGCCGTTGCGCAGCACATTGCCGACATCTCTGAGGGCAACGCCGACGCCTGGCAAGTAGGCGAGTCGACTGCAGATGAGGAGATTGTGGAGCAGGTCATGGAGGAGGTCCCGGTGGAGGGACAGGCAGGGGTGCAAGACGGTTCCAAGGCGGAGGCCGAGGAGGTCAAGGAGACTGAGGAAGAGAAGGTCAAGATCCACGACGAGCTCTGAGTGAAGAAGTCTGGTGTGGCTACGCGCTGCTCTCACTCAACGCTTTTTGCTACAACGGGATCGATACCAAGGTACCATTTGGGGCGAGGTCCCAGATAGAGTCTCTTTTGCTGCCCGTTGTAACTCTGATGGGGGTGGACAACACCAAAAAAAACCCCGCCTTGTAGGCTTCATAAAAGTTCACCTATTCGCACCGATGAACCGGCCTTGGGATTCCCGACTTGGAGAAAGAACACGTCGGCCTCGAAGCTACAGCAACAAACTTGACTGTGTAGGATTAAGAAAAGGGGGAAGCCTGAGAAAAAGCATGGTCAGGTCAGCTGATAGGAAAGGAAGGACAGCAGAGACCCATCTCTTGACCAGGTCTTCTCATCACTAGAGCCCTCTGGGCTTAACGAAATTCACATAATTTCGAGCGCAGTACTCGCTCTTATATAGAAACAGACAACCAAAGTCGATATAGTGCCTCGCGGAGCCGGGCACCGCTCCGTCGTTACCATCTCTGTTCCGCAAGCTACCAACAAACGATCAGACTGTAGTCAAAGCTGCTTCGGGCCTTTGGCGGCGACGGGCTCTCCCCCGCCAGGTCATGTTTTCCACCTCTCCCATTCAGCTTTGGTTTCACCTAAGCCCAAACCCGCATCGCGCGCATCGCGGAGGAAAGGTGCTGGAATGGGGGGCGGGGGGACCTGCGTCCGTTCCAGCACTTTGGAACGTTACACAAGTCGCCAAGAAATCAACACGATTGCCATTCCGGAGCCGGATGAAGCTCCGTTAGGGTTCCAAGTTCAACCACGCACAGAGCACGCTGTCGTTCCTGTTCCAATCAGCGACTCTAGAAGTTCGTACAAGAACCAAAGGCCGTTCATGCCCACTAATCCCGCATCAAGATTCGAGAGAGTCCGAAGACCTTCTGGCTCTTCTCCCCATCTCGCGGAGGCGGGCTTCCTCTCCGCTGCCAGCGGGTCTCAACTCTGCCTTTATTTTTAACTCGAAAACGCCCTTTCCTGACTCCCAAAAGGCTCGGAGCGAGCTCCGGGATTCACAGAGCCAATGGCCCAATCAGTTCGCTCCAGTCCAGGCGCGGAGACGGGCGAGGCCCCGTCCTCCATCCCAAACTAGGACACTAGAGAGGACTATCGCGGAGGCGGGCTCTTGCTCCGACGGTGCCGTCCCAAATCTCAGCTTTCTCAAACCAGCCTATAAGTTCACAGGCTCATCCGAGACTATAAATCCTCTTCGATTACCCGATTCGTGAGCCAAGGTCACATGACGCAGTTTTCTCAACTTCGCATCTACACCTCATCCAGGTTTCCCATAAGACAGGCCATTCGAGTCCAGTCAACTCTCGGTTTTTACTTTTTTACAATTGAGAGGAAGGGCTTCGAAGACAGCAATCTGTCTTTCTGCGAGTAAAAAGGAAGAACAATCCCCCAACTGAATGCCCGTAGACCAGACTCCCGCCGTATCACGACCTGAATTATCACTATTCATGATCCTTTCGATCGTGCCTCGCAATCAATAGACCTGAACAAGCGTCCAGCGAAAAAACACAAAGCCTTGTGAGGGAAGTTATATCCCACAAGGGCAAATCGCCACCCAACCCCAAGAGAGAAAATATCTCTCATCTCTACACAGCACCTTCTCCATCAAGTATCCAAACCCCGAGCTCAAGTGCATTAGACTCAATTCCTTCCTTCTTGGCACCTTCCAATTGTCAACTTAGATAAGACTTTGAATCCAAAGCCCCCGCGACCAGCAGAAATTGCTGTGCCGCAAATCCTTCGACGCCCGGGGCAGCTCCTTCAGCTCGTTTACTCGCGAGTTGTAACTATTACTTCAAGTCAAACAGGGGCTCATTTGGGGTGCAAGGAATGAGTGTCAATCGGACGGTAGTGAGTCGATGACCATGACCGTTCCAAGTCGTAAGGCTCAATCAACCCCGCTTTCTATCAGCCCTTTGAAGCCCTTCCTTTGAGATCCCTTGGCGATATCGTAAAACTTGGACGAGACTGGTAACTCGAGAACAACGAATCCTACCGGTGAATGACTCCACAATAGGAATGTAGATAGCATCCTCTCTTCTCGCCTTGGAAGTTGGAACCTTCCGGTCAAAATGCCAACATATCGCCAATACAACTGACAAAAGTACATAAACAACCACTACTTCTCTCCAACACCAGGAAAAAGCACGTCAGTCTCAGAGACAAAGACACAATCATCATCATCATCACAAGAACCCGATTCCCAGCCCACGCAAGCAATCCCAAAAACATGCATTTCAAATCTCTCTTCGTCCTCGCCCTTGCCGCCGCCGTCACGGCAGCTGCCACCCCAGGCGGAGAGACCCTCGACAAGCGCGCCCCCACAAAGGCAGAGTGCTGCTGCTGCTACGGCGGCCCCTCGGTCGGCTGCGCCGCGGACCTCAACTGCGCGGGCTACACGCCCAGCATCGGCGTCTGCCTCGACACGCGATGCCCGTTCAAATGAGAAGCTCGGCTCGAACCGGAGGGGAACCCATGGATTCTCACAAGTGTTTTGAGAGAATTTGTATGTTGGAAAGAAGTAGATAAGAGAGGGTTTCGTGCTTCAGAGAATGCACACAGCTTGGGCAAGAAGGCCGCTGTCCATTGGGCCGGATGTGTGTGTGCTGGTATAGGCGGTCTATTTCAGTGCAGTTCTTCGTTTCTTCCAACCCACGAGATCGTTCCAGAGCTGAAACTTGATGTCTGGCTCAAGTTCCTAGGATTCGGGAAAAGCTGGATTGGGCCTTGGAGGCCTTTTGATTTCAAGCTCGTAACTCTTCGATGACGTCATGAATGGAAGATTGCAGTCATCAAACCTCTCTGTACTGAACAGTGGATGTGGTGAAACCCAGGTTGTCCATATGCCGATCTTTTCAACTCCCAACATGCTTTATTGGCAGAGTGCCAATTTTCTTTGATCTTTGGCATCAGTCCTGGCGTCGTTTGTTCATGCGGCATTGACTCTGTCGTTGCCCTTTCCACGTTCGCCATATCAAAATGCCGAGCCGTCCTCGACGCGTCTCGAGTAAGAAGGACGACGCCGTTCAAAGTCTAACCAGCGCATCCTACTTCCAATACCTTCTGAACAACCCAGAGATTACAGGAGCCTGATGCAGGGTAGTTGCGTGGTTGGCTCAAAAAGAGGTGGTCCTTAGGTATTAAGACGGGCTGTAATGCCGTGACATTGGAGAAATCGAGAGAGTTGCTCACTATACCCTCAACCTCTACCTCTTCAATTACCAAGCCAGTGATTCTTGCTATCACCCAAAGAATATGGCCACTGCTGTGTGCACATCACATCTTGTTCGAACTTCAAGGCATTGAGCAGATGTCCACGTCTACAGCCATTAGCACATGTCTACGCAATATGTATTCCAGGGTCCATCAGCACCGAGTTGACTTGGGTGCAAAGAGCTACACAAAACTGAGTAAAATCTGGGCGTCCAGATGTACGCTATTAGCGTTCATAGATGCCCAATGACAATTTCGAGCTTCCTGAGGATTCTGTAGGCGGAAACATGCAAATGACCTAGGGATGGGCTTGGTGATGTCGCTGGCAGATAAATGGAGGCGATAAACCGGTTTCACTTGTACGGGCAATCCGTAGAGGATGAACTAAAAGGTAGACCAGAGTAGTGTGCATATAAAAGGACGTTTCGCGATTCTTTTTGTCGTGTATGTCTCCCTCTTCTCCCGACTCCATGACCGGGAGCTCGCGTACAAGAATATCCGAAAGGTAGGAACCCTCCTAACCTTAGAGGATGTAAAATGGATCTTTCTGTTGCCTCGACCCCGAATTTCGACCCCTCCAATGATATGATCTCTAATGGTATGTTTCCTCTATCCCCCCATAAATCGCTCGCTAATCGCAAGTTTTCCGACGTTCAAAAACCGTCGGCGGAAAGTAGACAGTGTCGACTGTAAAATCTCTGGGTAGGTCTTGTGGTCAATGATGGGCATGGTTCAGGATGCCTGCGGTTCGGCAGCAGCAGCTTCATCTCGACATCTTTGGCACATGCACCACCCGCCGAGACTTCCCTTTGCCCAAGCCCTTCGTTGATCGACGGGCATCGCAACGTCACAGTAGTGGTTCAAAACCTCTTCTCCGGCTTTGAGTCCTCCTGGAGCACCGCCCACAACCTTTGTCTTCCGCGCCCAGAGCGTCATCTGTCCTCCCCAATCCCATGTAACATTCGGATTGCAGTCGTGGTTGGCTAAGCACCACAGGGGGTGTACCGCCGCGACATCGGGTCGACCATCTCGCAGGTTCTTGCGGGCCGACGCTGTACCGCGGAATTTGCTGTAGAGGGTATTCAGAACCCATAAATCGTGCTCTTGGATAGTACTGTAGATGTCCACATCCATCTTTTCGAGGATATGGAAGGGCGTCTCGATGTTGTACTTGAACGAGAATGGTAGCGTCCACTCCGGCGGCGGATTTGCGCTCGGTGAGATTTCGATATCGTTCGATGCCGAAGGCACGAAGTCACCCCAGATATATTTGATCTGTGTCACATCCAAGGGGTGTATTTCCTGGTGGTTAGACATGGCCAAAACACGCGCAAGAAGCAACAGGTGTAGTGTTTCATCTGCTTCCGAAGCTTCGGGGTCCTTGGCGATGGCATCGACATCCTTCTCGCATACCGCAGGATGATAAAGTTCTTGTGCCATATCATGACAATGTTGGCTACAGAAGACAGTGTCGTAACATTCGTCGCAACTGACAGCGGCCGGCTCACTGCCCAAGGGAGGCAGTTCCGCACTACACGCATCGCAGACTGGTTCTTTGAGACGGTTATTGGCGGTCAAGAGCGAGTATTCTTCTAAGACGGCCTCTCCTGGCGCAATGTCTTGCGTCGCAAAGAGGCCCAGCTGATTGCAGGTGGGTATAATATCGTAGTCGTCCGTATCGCTGGCTGCCTCTAAGAGAACTGGAAGCTTAGACACTTGGACCGCACATTTGGGTGCAGATTTGGATAGTTCGGCGTTCAGAAAATCGAGGGATTCGGGAGCAAAACGGTCAGGCTCGTATGTATTCCAGGGGTAGACTTCCCTCCGAACAAGACCCCATTCCGGAAGAACGTTGACATTGAAGTCATCCCTGCGACATCTCCGACTTGCCACGTGCTTAATATATCCCATCGTCTGGAGTAGTTCATCGTTCTCGGGAGCGATCAACAGTCCTCGATCGCAGAACTCGTGCGCGCTCTTCAAGCATCCGCACAACAGAAGACTAAGAGCAAGGATCTGAAAGGCGCGAACAGAAGATAGCTTGGCCACGTGAGCGACAAGGCCTGTTTGGTCTCTGGCCTCTTCGGTGAGGTAGTCGCTCCCGAGCTTCGACAAAATCCCATGATCCAGAACAATTGGCAAAGGATCAAGGGGGCGGGATCCAAGAGCCTCGATGGCTTGCTCATGGTACTCCGAGCCCTCATGGAGTACGTCGTCGGTCAAAAGAAGAGCTTTGTAGGCATCGCCGGCGGCCAAGTCGGGGTAGCCCAACTCAGAGTGGACAACTGCACGCTCGAGATAAGTGATCAAGTCGTATGGGTTATCGACCAAAGTTGCTGTGAGATGTCGGCGACGGTCGAGTAGACCTTCTGAGCGGTGGGTGGTTTCATCCTCCAAGGGCGACTCATTGCCGGTGGTTGTGGTGCTTGCCGTCGACATGGTGAAGAAACGGAAGCTAGTAGCAATGCGCTTGGGGGCAGCACTGTTCGGGTCTAGCATCCAACAAGGTGCAGGCAGGGCTGCTGATAAAAAAAAAAGGGAAACAAGGCAAAGAAGGAAGATGCCGCCCAGGATCGAGATGGAAATGCGATGCAAGTGACACTGACGTCAGTGAGGAGAATAACGATCCTGGTTTTGCTGGGCTCAAGGTCCAAGTCGAGCGGACGTGTTGTGGTACCTTAATGGAACACCGTCTCGGGAACGGAACGGTGAGATGAACCTGAACCCTAGGAGGAAAAAGCCCGGCACACGGCTGCGCGCGGTTGTGTCTCGAGGTCTCTCTCTCTTTTTTTTTTTTTTTTTTCCTTTCTTAATTGTTTTTATTTTCCACCGAGAGGGGGGGGTTTTGGTAAGGAGAACGGGGCAAGCCCACAACTGGTCAGACCACTTTATGGCAACCCTGGCCGGGCTGTATCCGTTGGAAGTTGTTGAACTGGAGATACGGCGTAAGGAAAGAAGCCGGGGAAAATGGATTTTGAAAAATGGGGGAAACGAGAATGGATTTGAAAGGGGGGAAAGGGCCGATGAAGGAAAAGAGACGAGAATGAGATGGCAGGACTGGACGGAAGGAAGGCGTCCTTATTCGTCAATCAGACGGAAATGAAGGTGAGGCGGTGGTGTTGGTCTGGCGGGTGATGGCGCGCCCTGATGCCTCTCTTGTTTTAGTCCCGTCGTGCTTGTTTTTGTGCTGAGGTGCTCTTCTCTCCGATTCTGCTCGTCTTCCCTGGCGTTTGCTGCCTCCACTGGACTGTCTTGACAGTTGTAGCCGGAGGTGTCTAGCCCGTTTTGTCTAGCTCGGTCCCAGTAAGACGGAGACCCTATTTTTGGTTGATGACCGGTCCGTCCAAGTATGCCGTTTTTAAAAGGGGCAAGGTGAAATTGACACAAGCGCAAAGTCGTCGTCGTCGACCTTGTAGCCAGAAAGGAAAGCGGAAGAAATTTGCAACTCATCAATTGGATATTGGCCGCGGATTGGGGTCCGTTGGTGCGTGGTGACAAGTGGGGGGTTCTGGACTGGACCCTTGAAAACTGGAACTTCAGGGTCCTTCGCGTGGAGGGGTAAAACTGCCCTGAACTTTTGTGACTTGGGGACAAAGTAGTGTACCGAGTAGCAGCCGTTCCCAAGACAGTACTCCGTACTTCATACCCAAAACTGTCCGCAAGCGCATTGAACCCGGGACGACTTGACGTTGAACCGCCAGGCGCAACGGCGTGACTGGACGAGAGAGCATCGGACACCCATGCCAGTCCTTCAGGGGGTAGGTAACGTAGGTTGCGACCCTTGATTTGCCTTAGTGTCCGTAGTCCATGGTTCCTGGTAAGATGACCCTTCGATGAACGGTTGAGACGGGGCAGTGGCAGTGAAAACATGGTTTCGTACCACTTGGCTTTGCAACTCGGCAACAAGGTACTCGACCCTGTCAGCCTCACGTACCACGCGCTTGCCCGAGCTCTCTCTCCCCGTGGATACCGGTACTGGGGATTGCGACTTGTCGCGAATTGGCTTGGGATTTGAGAACCTTCTCCAAGGAACCGCATGTCTGGTGACGTCAGTATCCAGTCTCCCCGTTGCTTTCATCATCCCGTCATTTCCGTTTTGACTTTTTTTTGCCTTTCATGGGCTCTTGTTTCTTCCGCATGAACCTTTTTCTCCTAACAATTCACATGCCGGCGCATTCGTAAGGTAGGTAGGTATTCTTGCCTTATTCGTACTGATGCAAGTGACACGAAACAGACGCGGCCGATGGAGCATTTGACGCCCGTTGGGTCGATCAGATACCTCATCCGTCCAGTTGCCTGCCTTTCTGTACAAATTCTGGAAAGGGGCCTCCATTTTTTATTTTATTTTACCGCAGTGCCGGAGTTATTCCTGTCCTTTGTTTCCTCGACGAGTCCTTGCCAGTGCCTGATCGTCATCTGGGGCAGCAAGGGATAGCTGGAGCAGCAGGGCAAAACGCAGAATGAGGCTTACTTGCAAGGGCCCTGGCACCCTACCTGGGTCGCCCTGAGGATACTGCGTTCCCGTCCCATTCGTGATTAAGGGTCCAGTCGATTGACACTTTTTCGTCGCATCTGCTGCTCCCCAGTCCCCACCGTTTGTCGCTCGATATCAGCTGTGGGATATCATATGTATCAAACACGGGAATAGCTCCGTGTACTCCGGCCTGTCGCCGCGAACGAACCAACAGCATGCGCCGTCAAGTGTGGATTCGCAGCCCTGGGCACACCGCCGACGTGAATCATGTCCACTTCCTGCAGCGCGCTGCTGTAAATCGGACGCCTCTTACATATGCATCGGCGATTGCGTGGTCTTGATCGTTAATTTGTCCTTGGAGCGTCACGCGTGTAATTTTGCTGAACTGACAGCCGGACCGTTTGTGGATGATGATATCGTGGGATTCCGTTTCACAGAGCGGCGCTTCACTTCAAGCGCTGCGACCCGCCAACACCCCTCCTTTTTGGTTTTCGAGTCAACATTATGACGACAGCGTCCCCGCAGTAGCTGGACCAGGTTTCTGGTGAACCCCCGTCCTCCCGGCGGTTCGTGATGGTTCCCTTGAATTGGAGATGGACGACTTCCGAGTCAGTTCGTCGCTGTGACGTCATTGTCGAGATGCATCGATGCCCGGCGCAACATCCTGATGCACCGTCAAGTTTGCACCGGCTGTGATCGTTTAATAAGCCGAGTTCATCAGCCACCTGGTGGTGGTTTTGTCGAGTCATGCAGGGGTCTATCAAACGCGCCACGGACAATGACGCATTGCAGACTCGTCGTAAAGACTGTCAAAGATGTCAACATCGTTCAAGGTGATTCAAACGTTATTGCTGACATGAATGATAATGCAGAACGTAGTTAGGTAACGAGACTTTCGAAGTAGTGATTTGCAGAGATGTCACGCATCAACCTTTGTACTTGTGTCCGCACTGGTGACATTGAGACAGTCATGCAGAGACCCCCTGGTGGATACTGAAATGTATCATCGATTTGACATAATGATTGTGTCCTGGGTAGCGAATATAGCGCCGGTGTTCGACAGTATTTTGCTCGAGCAGCTTCTTGCGACACAACAGAGATGTACGCGGATGCTGTTATCTCAATCAGAACTTGGACTGCGATTTCATGCATATTGGGGGGCTGATAGTTCACTCAAAGTCACGCTTTTGCCGGTGGCCCGCGAATCCTAGGGACGCCGGGTACCGAAAGATTGCACTGCCGCCGCTTGACGTGAAAATAGCATAATAGAGTTGAATTTGATCTTGAACTCGGCCGGTAGTTTGTAGGAGGCGTGCGGGTTCGGGCCAGTGGTCTAGGCGTCTTCCCCAGACTCGCTGGCACATGCCAATAGCTTTTGGCACAATAGCAACGTGGGAGTCACACTCACAACGTAGGTGAACCGGCAGTCTCGTCCATTGAGGTGCATCGTGTTGTCGATCCCACGGCCAACCGGAGACAAGCGGTTGTACGATGACTGCCCGCAGCGCCGCACTGCATTCGACGAACCAGCGGAAGAGCGATTGGCTGGATGCGAGCGGAGGTGGCTCTTGGAGGCTTGAGTAATGTCAGTCAGGTCTGTTCTGAGGTGTCTGCAGCAAGCTTGCTTCGATCAGCAGCTCTTGCTAGGCAAGAATTCGTGCTGAGCATTTGACCGACGAATAATCGTGCTCTTGGAGGCATGGAGCCGTGCCTTTGAGCCGACGATATTAGCATCGCAAGCAGATGAACAACGTATGTATCCGTAGTCGCGCTGCAATTGGATCCAGTGTCTTAGTGGTGCTTTCAGTGGTCGGGGGAGGGACATGTGGGCGGGCCAATAGCTCCTGGAGCGTTTCTTCCGGCAGGTTGTTGGAGTGCAAGAAGGGATCGTGCATGGCGCTCGCCCTTCGTGGGCTGACGACATGGCATTCGCAATGTTGCTCGCCCTCTGAAAGCGCCCGACCCTGACCGACTCTCTCGACCTTTTCAAAGCAAGACAGTAGCGTATTGCAAATTAAATAAGCCGATGACAAAATGGAGGCTGTGGCATCCGATGTTGCCCTTCAGTCTCGTCTTCTTCCTTCCTTTATCTCAGGTACAAGATGACAGGCAGGGACCGGTCGCTGCCTTGCTCTGGGCAACTGCTCTTGCCAAGGTTGGAAGGCTCCTTCAGTTCGCGTGAGACTCGGCAGGAACGTTGAAACCAGCCAGGTGGAACAAGCAGGAAGGCAGGAAGCGGTTCAGGTTCCTTTCACCTCAGTATTCTTGGTGCCTGAATCTCTTTCCCTTTTTGCGCTGTGCCTCTGCGCTGCAACATTGCCGTTTCTTATCGACATCCATGGATCCCACGGAATGCTCACGAAATGCACCCGAGCGACCTGAAGGAAGGTTAGATGCTTCCATGCTTTAGCTCTGAGGCAGCGGCGCTGCTTCCCGACCGCCGGACAGCTCGGTCAGGGCCGTGAGCCGTTCTGTCTTGGACGACTCGGTTCGCCACAAAACCATCCCCCCAAGTTTGTTCTACCTTACTTCCGGTCATCTCACTAAATCCTCCACCCACCAGCCACCCGACACGCCGACTCGATCTACAACAGTAATGCTGCATCAGCGCCATGCCGGACATTGAGTGTCCATTCCCGGAACTGCAATCACTACTTGACCCTTTGGCGCAGCGCAGCCGTTTTGACAAATCACCGATGTGTACCTTACGGAAGCACTAACGGACCAATGATAACTACAGTTAGCTTTGCGGAGACAGGTATCATTCATCATCACTCTGTCTGACCTTTCTAATTGCACCCAACTTTGTGGCCTTCACTACTCTTCGTCGTCAAGATTGAAGCCTATAGTATATGCCGAGTGCCACCACCGACGGACGTTATTCGCGAGTCCACGGCTCAAGTCTGTCAAAGGAACCGTATCAAAAGTCCGGACTCTACGTCAGATCAACGATGAAGCCAGGATATCACAGCCGGTCCACTGGAAACATTGCACCTACATCATTCTACACAGTACACACACTTGAATAAGGTCAGGTAAGATAGTGAAGTGCCGCAGTGGTGCTTTGATCAATGCCCGACTTGCCTTCTGCCCGCCGTTATCGATCACAAATCCATGGTGAAACGGTGCAAATTTACCTGCAGCCCGCATACATCCGCCCGCCCTCGTCCTACGCTATCTCACATGAGATTATTACCACCAACCATCAAGCACCAAGCACTTGCTCCTCATTGACCTTTAAGCCAAACAAATCGTTTGGATTGCAGGACCCAAGCTTCAGAGCGCAGCCGGCAGAGAATAATTGGGTCGAGCCACACTTAACTGCAGCCTGCCCAAGCTGCTGGACTGAGATGCTCTTTGCTCTTTCGTCTTGTCTGTACGAATACGTACCTGACCTTAGGTACTGTGTGAGGTGCACTTGCTGAGGTGCCCCGATAAAAAAAATAGAGAACACAGATACAAAATATTCAATCATCTGCCCCGCTATCGGGTTTTGGTTTATTTTTTGTTTTTGGCCCTTTTACATCTGGAAACATCCATGACCCATCCCGCCGCTTGATTCTTAGACCGACGCTACTTATCTCTTCGGTCCTTATTACGTCCCTCCCGTGTGCAGACTGACGGCACTCTCAAAAGCTTCCATCTTCGTCTGAACCTCCAACTTTCAACCAACCAAACGCGCCACCCAAGCAAATCTGTCAGCCCAGAAAAACGCAGTACATCCCGCAGCAAGAAGCCGGAGTTCGTGCGCACCTTCTCCAATTTCGGACCGCCCCTCATTCTGCACCGACAGCAGACCGTTTTCCTTTACATCCTCCTCTTCCACCCCCTTCACAACGTAAACCTCGCTTCCGACATCACACTTCTCCGCCCCCCGCCTTCCGCCTTCCACCAACCTACCTCCAGCTTACTTTACCCCACCATGAGTAACAAACAGCCAAACCTCTTCGCCTACCCGTCGGTTGACGAACTCGCGCCCGCCCTGCGATCCTACGTCATCCAAGCACAAAATGCCGGTCTGAATCGTCACGGTGCCTTCAAGCTTGCCGTCTCTGGCGGCTCTCTGCCAAAGACTTTGGCGCAGGCACTGCTCACACCCTCCACCGGCCCCGAAGACCAGGTTCACTTTGGAAAGTGGGAAATCTTCTTCGCCGACGAGCGCGCCGTTCCCCTCGACCACGAGGACTCCAACTTTGCTCTTCTCAAGAGCCAATTGCTAGACAAGATCCCCGAGGAGCTTGGTGCCCCGACCGTTCACCCCATCGACACCACCTACCTGAACGACACTCAGGAGCTGGCCGACCAGTACGAAAAGACTCTCGTCACCAGCTTTGCCAGCCGCGACAGCGTGCGTCTCCCCATCTTCGACTTGCTGCTCCTCGGCTCCGGCCCCGAC